GTTGTTGTTGTTGTTGTTGTTGTTGTTGTTGTTGTTGTTGTTGTTGTTGTTGTTGTTGTTGTTGTTGTTGTTGTTGTTGTTGTTGTTGTTGTTGTTGTTGTTGTTGTTGTTGTTGTTGTTGTTTTGGTTGTGGTTGTGGTTGTGGTTGTGGTTGTGGTTGTGGTTGTGGTTGTGGTTGTTGTTGTTGTTGTTGTTGTTGTTGTTGTTGTTGTTGTTGTTCTTGTTCTTGTTCTTGTTCTTGTTCTTGGTCTTGATATTGTTCTTGTTCTTGTTCTTCTTTGTTGTTCTTGTTCCTCTTGTTCGTCTTGTTCGTCTTGTTCGTCTTGTTCCTCTTGTTCCTCTTGTTCCTCTTGTTCCTCTTGTTCCTTTTGTTCCTTCCTTTTGTTCCTGTTCCTGTTCCTGTTCCTCTTCCTGTTCCTGTTCCTTTTCCTGGTCCTGGTCCTGGTTTTTGTCCTTGTCCTTGTCCTTGTCCTTGTCCTTGTCCTTGTCCTTGCCCTTCCTTGTCCTTGTCCTTGTCCTTGTCCTTGTCCTTGTCCTTGTCCTTGTCCTTGTCCTTGTTCTTGTTCTTGTTCTTGTTCTTGTTCTTGTTGGTGGTGGTGGTGGCGGGGGCGGTGGAGGTGGCAGGCGTAGGAGTAGGCGTCGCCGTGAGACTTTTAAAGCCTAGGGCAAAGTCATCTTCGCTTGCGCGCAACGGGCGCAACGGACTGTAGACTAGCCCAAACCAAATAAGGTGTTAGAATGGCAGAAAGCTCGCTGTTCAGCTCTTTGGTGCTTTCTCCTCTTTTTTCTTCGGGTCGACCTTCCAGCAAAGCAATAGTCGTCTGACGTCGCCAGACGACAACGAATTTGACTACAGCACCAACCAAGCATTGCCTTGATGTTGGAGCCAGCAATTGTGGTTCCTGTCTTCTTGCCGTGTAAGGCTTTGGCTTTCTCCGCCTGGCAAGCTGTCCCAATCTTGCCCGCCCAAAATTCTGCGGGAAATGCCGGCCTGGGTAAGCTTTACTATCTGGATCACGTCCTCGTCATGCAGGATATGATCTCTGCCGCAAACCTGCGGTAGGCAGCATGCAGCGCGCGCCCCCGACCCTTGGCATGCGCGCCTGTGGAGACTGCTTCACGCTGCTGCCCCACACCAGTGCGTTCTTGAAGTCTTCCAGCAAAGATTCTCAGCAAAGCATGGGACTGAAACAGGCCTGTGTTTGCACATCCAGCAGGTGTTAGAAGCCCTGCAAACCAGCCACGCCACTTCTTCGTGCCAACTAAGAGTCTATGCAATAGCTGGACTGCATTCTCGACATTGAACTGCCTGTTCCCTCGCTGAGGTGTTAGAATCAGGGGATCCTTGGCGAGCATGCACGCACAAACACACACACACAAAAGCATATCTCGGCTCAAAAAGCAAACAATGAACTCTCTGAGGGGCAGAGAAGTCTGGAAACCGTTTTTTTTTGTTTGTGAATACCCTGCAGCAAGCAAGATATTGATGCTTCAATTCCCGCTGGCCAAAGCAGGCCTGACGATCTCCATCTCATCCCATAGTCTGCGGAGAAGATAGTCCTAGGAATGCCGCGGCCAGCTACGCGGCTTGCAAATCCACACACCGAGCCCTTCATAACACATGGTGATACCATGGCTGCTCTCGGCACAGAGTCATGCCAAGCGCGCTGCGAGCACTTTCTCGCCTTGTTTTTTAAGGCTAATAAAAATATTTACGTCTATGTGAATATCCGCAAGCAGGGACGTGCAGCGCTACACACTGCTCAACCAATTTGGCTACACTGCTTGCTTCATCCACGGCAGTGCCAGCTGAGCGGCGTAGTTCCACTTGTTCCGAACCTGAGCCTGGACGCAGTAGGTGGCAACTAGTGAGCAGCTGAGCTTAAGCTGCCTGTTCCCACCGATTGACGCTGCTGTTGTTTTAGGACTCAATGAGAGCAGGCTTCCCCAGGATTATCCCGTGTAGCACCATTGCAGCGCACTTTGTTGGTTTTTTGTGAAGGTTGCTTTTTGCTGCGCCGCTGCGCCTTCCGCTTCAGGCGATCCCTTTGGATTCAGCGTGCCGGGCTTAGACTAGCAGGCACATCGCGTGCTAGCAGCTAGCAGCCGCCCCTGTCTTAAGGAAGCCGACACCGCAGGTGGCCTCGTGGACGCTCAGCTGCGGAAAGCGGAAGGGAAGTTTCGCTTGTTTCGATTCTGAGTTCGCTTGTTTCGATTCTGAGCCCCGGGCTCCTTGCTGAGTAGTTGTTTCCTCCCCAAGGACGTAGATCCAGAGGTCGGCCGTCAGCGTGGTCAAGAGCCACCAGCCTGCAAGGAATGGATGAGGGGTCACTGGCACGCGCAAGGAGTTTGCGGACCAAGGCTGCTCGCCATGCTGAGCGACGGCCCTCTATCAAAAGGACACCCATCCCAAAGGGACTCAGGCGCGGCGCACATGTTCAATGGGCAATCGGGGGAGGCCGCACCACATCGTCAAGACGCTTTGAATTCATGTCGGGGATGCAAGGACATGCGCTGCGCTTTGGGCCTCCAGAGCTTTTGTCAACGGCGATGCCGCAGTGAAGCGCTTAGCAAGCAGCGCCCGGATCGGGGCAGAGCAATGGCATTGGTGGGGGATGGTGTGACATGGTGGAAACCGCGGCGGTTCTGGGACTGCTTTGCAGCTAGGTCCAGGCAGACTTTCTCCCAGCCGTGGATACCATTGGGCACGGCTTTTGCTCAAGGCAGGATGCCAATCACCTGGAAACTGGGGTCAGATCCGGCCCGTGCAGGTAACCGGCCCTCGCATCCCAATGGTTTTGCATTGTGAGACGATGGCAGTTTTCAAGCGATAGACTTGAGAGCTCTTGGCCAGAACGCCCATGCACGCCCACAGCCTACCCCCTACAGGCATAGCCATAGCCAGTATGCAACCCCACCCAGCCACCCCCGCTTCGTGCAACTGGGAGTTCCTGGCTGCGGTGCGAGCCCCAGATGTCGGTTCATTTGGTTCTAACCTTGAGCTCAGCGACTCAAAGCTCAGCTGTGGTTCCACTACAATAGCTCCGGCGTCCGGCTCTTCAATGAAATGGGCCTGGGCTCGCACCGCCTTGTTTCACGGTGCGCCGATTGCACGCCTTTGTCCACTTCAGCTGGCTTCAGCCATCCTTGTTCGGACATTGCTTGTTCCGTCGTACGGCAGCCAGCTGGGGTGGGCGGTGGATTGAATGGTGTCATCTCGTGGGCTTCTCTGCCGGACAGTCCAGGTCAGGTGTGTACCTTGCCAGCATTCCAAAGTTGCAGCATTTTTGCTTCGTGCTTTGGGTGCCGAGATGGCTCCCAAGCGTTTTGTCGTGAACAGATACGTTCTAGCGTATTTGGCTGGTACTTGTGTGCACGTCATGCTGGCCCACCGGACAGTAAGCGCAACCCCCACGAACAAGCGATGTGCGAAAGAAAATTCTGGGGCCTCGCGGCTGTCATTTGCTTGTCTGACATCCACGAGGCAGACTCTACAAAGCTGTTACCTGGAACCTGTGGCTTTCCAAGCCTTGTATGCTCGTTTCATGTTGTTCCCTTGTCCGGAAACTGGGAGTCAGAAACGGGACGAGAGACTTTCCGACCCCCGGCTCGCGACCGTTTTTTTCTCTCAGCCCACTGGACCCTGGGGCCCGCCATGGCGCCCATCCCGCCCTACGTGGCGAAGGTCACCTCCACGTGCCGCGGGGAGGAGCTGCACACGACGCACGGCCATGAGCTGCTGACGGTGTCCTCCAGGACCAAGAAGGCGGGCACAGCCGTGGCTGGCGAGCCCATGACCTTTGGGGAGAGCCAACAAAAACGCATGCGATCAGAATCGCCCGCTTGATTAGGCAAGCCTTTGCACTTTCAAGTTGAGAGAATGGCTGCATGGAACTTGGCGCACCCGTTTCGTTTGCGTTTGTGCGGGTTTTGCAACATCTTGCTGCACTCTCTGCACTTGTTCGTCAGATGTGGCGCAGTGAGCCGGCCAAGTGCTTGTGATTGCGCACTGGCAGGCACCCAAATGGTCATTTCCTGGCAAGCGCACTGGCTCTGGCGAGCATCCAGATGGAACTGAGCGGCGGCCTCACCTCTCTCTGTAGCTTCGACAGGATCAAACACAATCTTTGGCTTCGACCGGGGTCATTTGACCGGTGAAATGGTGGCGTCGTTTATCCTTCAAGCCAACATTAAGAGTTGGAAGCACACGTTGTTTTTTTTTAAGCTGATGACTTCCAGGGTGGGGCACTATGCTTCTGGCGATCCGCATCGTTCCCTGGTTGGAATGTGACTGTTTGCAGTTGAATGCATCTTGAGTTGCAGCTTCTAACCTGTGAGGGCCTCGCACCGAGGAGACATTAATGGTCGCTATAAGCGTGGCTTGAATGCAAGCGGACACCTTGCTGTCATTTGCAAGCCAGTCTTGTGCAGCCACACCTTCAATTCGCGGCATGTTCTGTTCTTTTGCCAAGTGCCATGGCATAAAGCATGCATGTTTGTTTGGCTGGATAACGCTCATTTGGCTCGTGCGGAAAAGCTTTGAGGTGACCCAGCTTGGAGCTTGCAGCTGCCAAAGGGTGATCGAAGCTCCTCGCTTCCCCCAGGCGCTGAAGTGACATAGGGCGATTGCTTGTTTGGCGGGAAGGCCGCCTAACTCCGCGAGCTGCCGCTTTGCCAGGGCCGGGTCGATACAACAACCGCGACGGAACGTTTGGCACTGAAAGCCTTTGCAGCGAGCGAGCTCGCTCGCGTCCTTTTTCTTCCAATCCGAGGTTGCGCAACTCGGCGCCCTCTTGGAGCTTTGGTTCGACCTCCAAATCGGTTCTGGCCCCAAACGCGCCTGGCGCGGTGCTGTCATGCTTGAGCCTTTTGTTGGTTCAACTTCTGTTGCTAGCAGGTTTTTTGTAGTTTTCTTGGAACTGTCCGGAGCTTTGTGAACTCAAAGTGCGCATTGTGCTAAGTGGCAGATTGTCACAGCTCGTTTGGCGGGCATGTTGCCATGCTCAGCGGTGAGCGGTTCAAGCTAGCGATGGGGGCCATGCTGACATCACAGCTGGGCCTATAAGGCAGTTGCTCAGCAGCTGATGCATATCCATGTGCTTCGAATGCTTTTTGCCGTTTCATCCGTTCTCCTCTGACGCTTCTGTCAGCATAGCAGACGCCAGGCCTTCGCATGCAACCATTACGATTTCACCACAAGGAGAGACTCGGTGGCAGCTCTCCCGGGCTGGTTCGGTTGATGCGGCTTCCTTTCTTCACTTGCCCATGGTTTGCACGGAACATGTTAGTGGCAGAGATAGGAGAGCGGCCAACAAGGGAGTCTGGGCTGTGAGGGTGAGTCTGAGGAAAGAAGATGATAGCGAGGAGGAGCCCTACAGCCGCCGAGAAGCAATCTTGATGGAAACGCAAGCCCTCCTGACGACAGGAGCAGAAAGAGGCCCCGATTTCTGCGGAGGATGCGGCCAAGATCATTCAGTCGCACTGGCGGAAAGCTGGGGGCGCAAAACGCCCCTTAGCTTAGCTACAACAGTTGACAGGGCCAAACCCCAGTGGTCACAAGCATAGTCAGTTGGACAAGCACCCCTGCTGCAGGCACAATCAGAAGAATTGAGACACAGAGAACGGACAGATTGCCGCCGCAAGACGTCGATAGGCAAGGAGTCGGTGTTCCCTGCAGAGTCCCGGATTTCTTCGTTGTTGATGCATTCATGCTTGAGGCCTCAGCAGCTTTGGGGTGCTTTTGTGCGCTGCTCGCCAGGCCGTTCTACACCCACACCCTGGGCTGGGAGCTTGGGTTACTGCCTGTGTTCTGTGAGAGGCCACCGCAGGGTGTTTGAAGCTCAAAGCACACCGGGGACTTTGGAATCTACCACCCTTGTGTCAAGCTAGACGGCTGCAGAATTCCTGGGGTTGTGCCACGCGGACCAAGGACTTACCTTTGTGTCACATACACAGAAGAGGATGGAGGAGGAAACGAAAAGCCTGGCAGAGACGCTTTGCCTGCTTGCCTACCTTGGGTTGGGGGCTGGAGAACCAGGTCTTCAGAGTTGGGGTAGTGGCTTGCTTGTGAGCGCTCACCAAGCTGAGGAAACTATTTCTATTGCTGAGCGATCCAAACAGCTCCTCCGCTGCTCAATTAGTGTCGCCTTCTCAGTTGTTTGCAGCGGCAGCTGTTTTCCTGCGGCATGTTTGCAAGCAAGGGTTGCTTTGCCTGCGCCCGGTTGAGGTCGATTGTCATAGTTGCTTTCACCGTGCTTTCGATTTGTGGCTTTGTCCTGGAAACAGACCGGGAGCTGTACGAAGTGAACGCTGGCAGCATTGGCTTGGCGCGTTGAGATTCTAACGCTAAGCATACAGCAGTGCTCCAGGAAGGCATGACCATCCCTGAGAGCTTGAAGCCATTCCTCAACATAAGAGAGCGTATGGTCCTCTTGAGCCTTCTGAGGAATCCAGATGTTTGGCTTGCTCTGGAAGTGGTGTGCACGATGGCATCCAGGCTGCGCTTGGCGTCAGGCTTTGCAGAATGTCGTTTCGCCTGGCGATGCGAAGCTGGCTGAGTTCGGCCGGATTGCGTGCTCCGACGGCCGCAGTTTGCCCCAGAAGCTTTGAGCTGGATAATTGTTTTAGGTGTGATTGCCGGGCCCGCCGTTCCGTTTCAAGCGTGAAGCGCCGCTTCTCCCCACCTTGACGCAAGCGGCAGGGAGTAATCGCGTCAGCCGAGCTCCGTGGGTTCGGCAAGGCTTGTTTGGAGCAGCGCATGGCTCGCCAAAGTTGCGCAGTGCAAGCCTATGGGCATGTCGTGTTTGTTTGTTTGGTTGGTTGTTTGGTTGCTTGCTTGCTTGATTGGTATTTGCTTGTTTGCTAGCTTGCTAGCTTGTTTGCTTGTTTGCTTGTTTGCTTGCTGGCTTGCTGGCTTGCTGGCTTGCTTGCTTGCTTGTTGCTGGCTTGCTTGCTTGCTATTTTGTTTGTTTGTTTGTTTGTTGGTCGGGTGATTGGTTGGTTGGTTTGCTTGCTGAATTCCACCAGGACGTGCGATGCCCTGATCATTTCTTTTAGGACCTAGGATGATCTGATATGATTTGACTTTTGACTAGTAGCAGCAAGGCTTAGCACTTTCTCTCATCGATATCTTTCATTTAGCTATATGGCAACCTGTGGACTAACTCTTGCTCAAGAACGATGATCATGATATCGCAACCACCTGGAAACGTCAACGCACAACGCAGCCCAAGAACACGCAATTTCTGGGCAACAAAGCCCTCTCCGATGACCTGCCGCCAACTACTTCAAGAGGCAAATACGGAGCGCACAGGCTACCTTTGGAAGGCAAATTTTATTTGGAAGGGATCTTGTCCACTTCCGAATTTGAATTTGGGAGGGCGCCACCCGCTTAAGAAGGATACTTGTGGCCCCAACCACAGAACTTCTCACTACCCACTTGAGGCACACGCGGGTGTAGGTGAACTCACAGTTCGCTTTAAAAGCAGGTCCTCCTTCATAGCCCTCTTCACGCGCTTTCAGCCCGCGCCAGCGCGTTTTACAATCTGCTAAGTTGTCTATTTGCTCTGCCAAACGTGGTGTGTCTGATTTTTTGTTGGTATGCTGCTAAATGGTGCGCAGACGAATCGGAAGCTGCAACAAGTATACACAGGAATGAAGTGCATGTGGTGTGGTTGTGGGCGGCGGAGTTTGTGATGAAAGGTCCGTGGTGTTTTTGCTCGGGGTGGTGGTTGCGGTGATGGCAGATCAGGATGTGCTTGCGCCAGTTGCTGTTGTACCAGCATTGGTAGTGCACCCCGAGAAAACCCGCTGCCCCCGAGCACCGCTGAGGTATTTACTGCAACTTGGCTTGCACCACTCTGATGCCGCCGCGCTTTGAGATTTTGCTGGTTTTTGTTGGGTAGGGATCCTTCAATCTGCATGTCAAATGTGCAAAGGCTGGCTGAGCGAGGGCAAGTGAAGCTTGTTGTGGATTCAAGGCCGAATATTTGGCACTTTCATTCACTTGCCGTGCGGCCGGCATACCTTTAGTGCAGAGCTCAATGAAGTCACATGTATCAGCTTGCATTTTGCGATTCTTTTTCCCTGCATCAGTTCCAACCAACGCAAGGTGAAGTTCATTACTGCTCCCAGCAGTATTGCAGACTTGATCGCATTACTGCCCTTCTATGTGTTTGAGCTGCATAGTGCTGGCGGCAGACTTTCGGGCTGTGGGTTTTGCTTTGTGCTTGAGCAACTCGCTTTTGCCACAAGGTGGAGGTCATTTTGCGCTCTACCGGTTTCACCCACACCACGGTACTGAAGGCTTTCAAGGCAGGGTGCCCGCGAGTGGCAGCTGACGGCCCGCAGCTGAAGTGCTGAGGTTGTTCGGCTCATTCGTGTGGTACGGGTTTTCAAGCTAGGCAACGGGCCCAGGAAGGCTTGGAGTGTCATCAGGTTGGATTTTCTTTGCTGCCAAACGGTTTGCGCTAAGGCCGCTACGCGGCTGGCATGCAGATCATGTGGAAGGTGCCCGCTTTTGCTCTTGCACAGTCCTATTTGGCCATGCCATTTTTTTCTGCTCACCATTTCCAGCAAGGCCGTTGTCGACTCCAGACAAGCTATCTCAGTCCTACTCTTCCTTTTGTGTGCCCTTGCTGCATGTTCGGAAGCTTGGCCCTCTTTCCCTTGCTTTCATACCCAGGTACTGGGGTTGTGGCGTTCGCGAGCACCCTGTACTACTTGGAGAGGTGGGCGGAATGTGTGGGGCAATGACGGCATGGAGTCACGTTTGCCAGGTTAAGCTGCCCGATGAGAGAGGTGATGGACGAGAGTCAGCTTGCGCTATACTTGAATGACTCTTGGCCGAACTCGCATTTTGACGCACAATATGTTCTATCCAGCTGCGCAGCCAAGCCCAAGCAAGGAATGTTCTGACGTCTTCAATCGCGGAGTGTCGCCGAGCCATGGCTTGTGCTGCACGGAGGACGTGTGACAAACCCGTGCAAGCATAGTATGGATGGAGGGGAGTAGTGACTTGTCTCATAGTATGGACGGAGTGACTCACCGGTGCATATTTTACAGGACAACTCGCCGGTGGACATGCCCAGCATCATTGCGGCATGTTGGTGGGCTGTTGTCACGCTGACCTCGCTAGGCCAGGGGCAGCGAGTTGAGTCGTGCAGGCCTAGAGTGAAGGGTAGGCAAACTCTGCTGCGCAGGATATGGGGACATGTACCCGAAGACGCTGCAGGGCAAGTGCGTAGGCCTGGCACAGGACGATACTATCAAAACCTCGCTATCTAGGACAGCTTCAAGTTTCGGCCCTCCACTGCCAACTTGAGCCCGGGGGTCGTAAATTCAGAGAGAGAACTCCTTGGTTCAACTTTGTCGGGGAAGCCCAATGAGTTCCTCGGTGTGAGGAATCCAGGGTCTGTTCCTCTTGCCAGAGCTACGGGTGCGTGTTTTGTGGGGGTACCCTTTGTAGGTAAAGGGAAAAGGGAAGCCAAAGCCAACGCGAAGCCAAAGGGAAGCAATATTGAAACCATGCATTTTGACGGCGGAAAGAACCAGTTCTCGGAGGGGTGCTGGCGATGATCGCGGGCTTGCTGCTCATAGCGCTGCCCATCGCTATCATCAGCCAGAAATTCCAGGACTGGCGTAGGCTCAGCCATGTGTTGGAGTTCAGCAATTATTGCTGAGCCGGCTGGCAACCAAAGGGGCACACGCTGAGGACTTCGAGACCAATTTCACAAAGACAAGTTGCATCTTTGGTTGGGCGGCTGGGGACTCCTCCATGTCTGACATTTTGCTGCCAGGACATCTACGAGGTCAATGACAAGGAGGAGGCCAAGAACCGTGCTGCCCAAAGGCCAGCCTGCACCCTCAACGGTAATGGGAAAAGCGGCGTTGGCCCAGGATGAAAGGCGCACCGCATGAGACGTGGACCCTGATACCTGGTTCCGACGCTGCTTGCTTGCACGCCGGCAGTCATGCTGTGGCAGAAGGATCGGCGCATGAAGCGACGCTGGACAAACCTTCGCGCACGCTAAGACGCTTCTAGGCTTCTAGGGCAACGGCGGCCGAGGTCGTTAGAAGGCTGAAGGGTCTATCCATCAAGGACTGGGATTGGGACGCTTCGTGTGAGATGCTTTGCAGAGGGGATGATTTGCTGCAGGGCTATGCGTAGTGGTTGCATTTTTCCCAGGATCCAGAAGCTCGGGAGGCTATTCAAGACATGATGAAGTCACTGGAGGACATCCAAGCAGCTGAAATCTCACACAAAAGCCAGTTTTCACATTTCTCTCGTTAGGAAATCTGGGAGCGGCGCGAAGCACTAGAACGTGAGCGAAAGTATGCCATGTCGCAGTTTCTTGGATGGCAAGCTGGCATGTGGGTGCAGCCGGGCCAGCGAAAAAGTCATCGAATGGTTGGCCGTCCTGGCAGCTTTGCGCCCCAAGACTTAAGGATGATGCGCTTCCACAAGGGCTTCGACAAGCGCCTTGGCTTCAGCCTTTAGGGTAAGAGACACCTTCCAAGGAGTGTCGTGCTTATGACAACTACTGCCGACCAATTCAGGATCTGGTGCTCAAACCGGATAGAACATAGCTTGTGAAATGCAGCATGACAGAAGGGGATACCGGCAAGCAGCCTCCCATGTCTACGCAGGCTGCTTGTGGGCATGATGTCCTCCGACAATTTGAGCCTTGGCCGCCTTGGGCTGTGGCGCTGCGTTTTTTTTTTTTGGGGGGGCTGCGTAACCAAGCCTCTTTGCAAGTCGCTTGCTAACATCTTGCCACAGGTAGCCGATGCGGAATGAGGCCTCTGAAGGGTTGGCGATCAGCGACCCTGCATATGCAGGCCCGAGCTTTAAAGTTCCCTCTGGGCCTCGTCGCGCTGGCGAGTTTCTGAAGAACATGGGTGAACACATGTGAGCAAAACGGTTTCTGCTGTTCATCTCAATATCGGAGTAGAAAAGTGTGGCAGTTGCGGGCCCGCAGAAGTTTGTTGGCCATCAAGTGGGGCCGTCAATCCCATTTTCCACTGGCGTCAGAAGGCTAGTGCGTTCTAGCACCGTCAAGTCGTACCACTAGTGATGTTAGGCACTTTGGGCAGCAGCTCCTGAGGAGCAGCTGACAGGAAGGCAAGGACGCCACAGACAACGCAATATTCGCCGGGGGGCAAAAGCAGTATTAGGGGGCCTTTTCTGGAAGCTGGCGTGCCATATGTGTTGTAGACGGCCGGCTTCTGCGTGCACTCTTGCCTTCCTAGGTGCCATGTAGCAGCGATGTAACGTTTTTTTTGCAGGAGACATAAAGTTCTGCTTTCGTTTAAACAAGGACGTGGCAGCTTGGCTCAGGGCTTAGCTCAGCCCAAGGCCCGGGAAGGTACCTGACAAAGGAATCACTTGGGCTTTGACCGAAATCCGCGGATGTTTGGCGAAGCTGGTCTCCAAGTTTTGGATGTTGGTCTCATTCTTTCCCGGGCAGCGTCACCCTCTCCTGCAAGCAGGTGATTGTTTGGCTGGAAGAATTCGAGTTCCCCAGAGAACAAGAACAAGCACCAATCAGAGTATTCACGCGATCTATGGGACATTGGCGTCGTGAGGCACCCCGAGGGGCCGTCGGATGTCAGAGGGGCAACTCCTCATAGATATTTCTAGAAGGGCCATGGCCTGGCCTGTTCAGGTAGACCCTTGCGGCTTTGCAGGGCAACTCGCCTTGGAGCTGCTGTTCTCTGTACAAAGCGGCCGCGGCGCCGTGCGGATCGCGCCCCTTCGGGAAGGAAAGCCGCCGCGAAGGATTCTCGAGGCTTCAGCCAAGCCTGACCATGAAACTGGCATTGGGAGCTGCGCCCAAAGGCGCAGCGATTGCTTTGAAGTGTCTGAGGCAGATCGGACATTTCTAGATGGGTCTGTCGGCCCTGGTCCAGCAGCTTATGCGCCCAATCATGCTGCAGAGGCCTCAGAAAGCTTCGTGCATTGAGGTCCAGCGAGGTTTCGGGGCCGACAGGCTTTATACCCAATCAAGAGTGCAGAGGGGCGTGACGGGGTTCTGCCATGCAAATGCGTTGAGCTCCTGAAGGAAAGAGCTGCCAAGGTGGGTTGGCGAGGTGCTCCTGCCTACTCTTCGGCGGGGCTGGCTTGCTTTACAGCTCCGTGTCAGTCTTGCAGGTGGATTCAGCATAGATGTGAGTTCTATTTTTCGTGCGCATCCAATGTCAGCGCAGTGTGCGAGGGGAAGGGGCCTCTTTGATCCAACGCAAAGAAGAGGATCAAAGTGAGCCAACGGTCATATTCCAGAATGCCAATGTTCAAAGCTCATGTTGCCGTGGGACGGTGTTGCTTTGACAAAGCCACCGCCTTGAACGATTTCGGTCGCGCTACGCGCAGGCTGGACGGGGAAATGGCAAGTCGCATTCCACTGGGCCGGGCCAGCATCCCAGAGTCCCGGCAGGGCCCGCAGGGTCTCAATTTCACGCTTGGAGAAGCCAGACACTTTTACGGGGGTTCCGGCTTCTAACGGTTTTACCTGCTTTTGCCCGGTTTCACAGGGTGTTACAAGACCGCGTTGACCGCGTTGAACGAAAACAAAGCAGTTCAGAGGTTGCGTGCAATGCGCCCAGGCCCAGGGCATTACGGGCCGCCGCGCAGCACTCTACGGGGCAAAGTCGGAAGGCCGGGGGAAGCGATCGGATTCGCGGGGATCGTTTTGTGGCGCGCTGCTTTGAGACGTTTGTTTGTGCGCGCGGGCGCGCGGCGCGGGTATATTTGTGAGTGTGTGTAATCAGTGTTTCGCGGGGAGTGTGCGTCGTCACGGGCCGCACCAAGTTTGATACCTTTGTTTGCAGGTGGGGGGACGCACCGTGGCGTCCATACAGCGCCCCAGATGACGGCCAAGGCGGAAACGCCGGCGATGGCCGCAGTCCAGGACTGCTTTCAGTTTTTGGTGAACAGCCACGATCCAAGTTGCTCGTGTCTTTCTGGGTCCATGAGCCTTGAGGTGTCCTTGCAAGGACCGGGCTTCCTGGCCCCCAGCACGCTCACGGGCCCGAGGTTCAGCATGGGAGCTCGTCGTGAGGCGCCGCAGCATTCAAGGTGAGGTCGGCGACCTTAGATGTTTATCTAAATGTAAGCATGAATCCCTGGAGACAAGCATTTGGTGGTAGCCAGGTACCAAGAAAATTGGTAGAAGGGTACAGCTGGTGCTGCAACAGCGGGACGGTACGTGTTGCGTACTGTTCTTGCAGGTCAAGGGCACGATTGAATATAGTGCATATATATATATATGTGTGTTTTATATATTGCATGTTTGTACCATGCTGGTCGTGCCCTTGTGCCACCATTTCATCCTTGTTAAGCTATTGTTGTGCTGTGAGCGAGCTGGGAGGCATTGGACACTATGGACAGGAGACTGCCTGGACCAAGAACGCAGCACCGGCCTCAGGGCATCAGTGGCTGGACCTCTTAGTTTGGGGGGCATTTTGTGTACGTTGCTTTGGCTGTGCAAGTCTTGTGAGGGGCATGTGTTTTTCCTTTTTCACACGCGTCTGACATTCTGGGTGAGCAGGCTTGCAGGTCTCAGCGACTGTGGCCTTGTCTAGCGCTGCCACGCGACCCTAGGTTTGGCTACTGAGGATGGCAGTACTCCTTGGTCTCAGGCCATTAGTGAGGTTGCAGCCTGGAAGACGCAGGCTGTTTATCCTTGGAATGAGCGCAGTTCCAGCTATTTGGCGTTTTGTGAGCTGAAGTTGTCTATACGAGGGCAACGCTCCCTCCTTCGCAGCTGCTTAGTCAAGCTGGCAGTTGACTGGTTTCACGGCACTGAGGTCGATAGCTATCAGAAAGACGTGCAGGGTTTGGTTTGCCTTTTTTGGTGTGCTGGTATCTCATGGCTTTGACTGGACCTTGCGACTTTGCGCTGTGGTTCCGTCATCCTGTTCAATTTTGCCTCCCGTTTGCCCACGCATTTTTGGCCCGTGCATTTGCGTGGATGCCAGTGTGGCACAGCCTGAGAATGAGCTTCACAAGCTGTGACAGGAGAGCAGAGAAGGGCAGTATTCATCAACGTGAACAATTCCACGGACTAGGAACCTGCAAGCAGCAGGTCTATTGCTTGTCATGACTATGGTGCCCAGGTAATGTGTAATGTCATCAGGGGATTTCTTAGCAAATTGCAGCGAAAAGGCAGTCAGCATCCTCCAGAACCACTTTTAGGCTGATGGATGCTGCGAACCAATGTTTGATTTCGATGAGATCGAGGCGCGCGGTTTGATACATATATTTATGCAGAAGGGGTGGGCATGGGATCTGCTTCTGTTTTTTGCATCCGGAACGCTGCAAAATCTGGCACTCCACCATTCCGTGCAATGAACGCATGCAGACAGCTTGAGTTTTCCGAAAAGCAAAGATACACAAACGCCAAACTGATGACCCTACGTTAAATGAAAGGTGTGAATCACCTCGAGTTTTCCAAAGCCCTGCCCTTTCCCCAGGCTAACTTGGAAGCTCCCAGGATCCCACTTGGTTGGCTGGAGGGAGTGTATGCCCCCCTGCCTAGTCTGTCGAGACTGCTGGGGTCTGCGTGCTTTTAGACAACTTGAGGTGGGTACATGATTCGGCTTGGGCAGGTTTGGTGTCAAGTCCTCAGTGCAACGCGGAGCCTGTGTATCCTGGCCATGTTGGCTGAATGTACACAGGCACCGTGTTCTTTTCCGCGATTGGGCCAAACTTGCAAATGCTTAGCCGAGCACAAGCCTATTCGGGATGGTGGGGCCGAAGCTCATTGGCGAGCAGGTTTGGGCGCATGCCCGTGTGTCCATGATTTTTTCATCTAGGGCCTTTCTGGGTCGCAACTTTGGCCAGCTGCAGAGCCTCCCATCATCCTGGGATGCCTCCAGATGACCAGCGTTCCGCGCTGCCAAACGCTTCCAAAATGTATTGGCGCGCTGACGTAATGCCCCCATAGAGCGGCCACTTTTTGGGGACGCACGGGACGGCCCCGCAGCGGGCAGCCAGCTAGTTGGAAACAAGACCCCCAAACGCCTGAAGAGCTAAAACGTTGCAAGCCTCGGCGTGTTGCAAGCTGGCCAAGCGCCGCGGGGTGTCCTTGCCGTGGAACATGTTGGTCCGCGGCTTGCAGGAATTGAGGCGGCTTTCGGGCTCGTTTCGTCAAGGAAGCGTCGCCATTCGTTTGCTGCGTGAACATGGCTGCGTCGCCCTTTAGCAAGCTCAGGTATTTCATGATGCCACAGCTGTAATCAAGGGGCCGCCTGCTGGGTTAAAGGCTTCGTGCTGTAGTTTCTTTTGCTGCCTCAGATGCCTGGGCTCAGTTTGGACACGGTTGTGGCGTTCAATTTGCAGGAGTGTGCGTCCTCTTGCAGAACCCGCGGAGTTTTGATGCAGAGCAAGTGGAGTGAGGCAGCTTAAGCTTTGAGTGAGATTGTGGTCAGAGATGGCGGCGATCAAGACGGGAGCCCCACCCTCATCGGCGCACTCTCACCGGCGTTGGTTCAGGCGCAGTGGATTTGTTGCTCAGCAATGGTGGTGCCCGGCGCGTACTTCAATGCGCGCACCTGTCCGAGCGGCACGCAATAAATTCATGCGTGCTGTCTAGTCATGGCCCGTCTGAGCCTGAGCAGCTTCAGCTCTGAGGGCTTTGGCCGGCGTAGGACCGCAGGAAGAGAAGGAGGTGGAGCTGGAGGAGATCGCCACCTGCTCCAATACACTACCTGCTCCACAGCCGCCTTTGCAAGAGTGCCAACTGCTTCAACCAGCCGAAGCCGGCCAGCCGGCCTGAACTTCCCAGCTCAGGCCCAAGGCCCATGCGCCGCAGCCAAAAACGCCTGCAAATCCTGGCGCTTCCTAAAGCTGCTTCACCAAAGCCTCTCACTGCGTTCTCCATGCCAGCAAGTCCGGCTTCCGTTTCATGGCATAGAAAAGCTAAAGAGCGGGCAGGCGGGGAACTCATGGCATGGAAAGGCTGAAAAGCACAACTGCTCGGAAAACTGGACAGGTGGGGAATCGCTGGCTAAAGGGCACAAGCGCTCGAAAGCTGGACAGGTGGGGAACCGGTGGCAGAGATTGGCTAAAGAGCACAGCAAGGCCGTAAACCTGTCCTTCTACGAAGTTCGACTCGAGGTGAACAAATTGCGCATCTTGTGTTGCGCAGAGGTTGGCTCGGTCAGCGGTCCCTCAAGGCACGGGCTCAAATCCTGAAAGGCTCCTTAACACTGTTTTATGTTTCGGGTTCATTTTTATGTTTTGGGTTCTATTTTAGGATAGGCTAAATCTGGATTATAATCTGATGTGTTTTTCTCTGCGTACCCCGGACAAGCGCCAAGTCAGCAATATAAGGGCTCGTCAGGCACGTGCTACCTTTCTTTCACTCCGTTCTCAAGTTTGTGGATTGTTTCTTGGTTTTGGGTTGCCGCCCCCCCCCTTCTCCTTGTACATATACATGCATATAAATACGGACAGCTTGGCAAGATTTGTGGATTGTTTCTTGGTTTTGGTTGCTGCCCTTTATCTGGCTTGAGGAGAAGCTGCAGCAGGCATCCGGGGAGACCTGTCCTGACTGAGTTTGGCAATCCCGTTTTTGGGTGAGCTTTCCTGAGATCTCTTTGTGCTGTGGAGGCCAGGGCCTTTGACGGAGACTGGCATGATGGTGAAGGCACAGTGGCAGGAACCTGAGACGTTGGCAAGTCACGGCGCATCACGATCCTTGCGTGAAAGAACGAGCCAACGGCAGCCCCCGTGCTGCTTCGATGCGCTCTGACGGCTGAGGTTACCATCAAGGGCACGCGAATGCGCGGGGCCGATGGTGCCGAGGTGGAGGTCGGCTGCGTCACACGTATTTCATTGTTTTGTCCCCGGCTCGTGCCATGCCATGCGCAGGTTTCCTTCCCAAGGGCGGGCACCATTGCCTTCGGCGATGGCTGCAACCTTCAGCTTGCCGCCCCCACCGCTGGAGGGCCAGAGCTAAGGTGCGGAAGGCTTTGAGGGGAAGCTGGAGGCTGACAGGACTCAAGCACTTGGGGCCCGCGTCGAAATGCTCAACATGCTCGGCTGCAGCGTTGCGAGGATCCGCTGGAGCGATGGTGCATCATGGGCGGCGACCTTGGCGTAAAGAAAGATTTGACAGCTCGAAGGGTTGTGAGGGGAAAGCCAAGGTCAGGAAAGCCACTGGCGCTCCCATTCCGAGTGCGCCCCCAACCAGCCAGAGCCGGAAAGCCTGGCACCAGCAATTCCATGCTGGAAGTGAAGCGGCGGGTCAAAATTGGCAGTCTGATCCAAACAGGGTGGCAAGATTTGCGGCATTGAGGTGGCGTTGCCTTGCCGACAGCATTTGGGAACACAGGAATGGCATGTTGAAGAGGTGGTGATTCTTGCCCTGCGCACGTTGGTTTTGCGGTTTTGTTGAGGGCACGGAGGTTGGCAAGGGTGTGTTTTTTGCTTATCCCTGACAGGGCTAGCTTTGGCCGGCCTGGGTTGGTTCGGTTGGTTGGTTGGGCGGGTGATTGGGTGGATGGCTCGGTGGGTGGCTCGGTGGCCCGGTTGGTTGGTTGGCTGTGGCTGGTTGCGAAAGGGCGGTATTTGAGTCCGCAATTTAGGGTGGGGTGGGTAGGTTTGGGTAGCTGTAGGGTAGGTTTAGGGTAGGTTTGTGGCACGATTAGGGTCGGTTTTAGGGTTGGTTGAGGCGGGTGGGTGCAGGGTGGGTTTTATAGGGCAGGTTAGGTTTAGGGTCCATGTCAGGTACGCTCAAGGTTCAGGGTGGGTTTGCTACGTTCATTCGGCGTCATTCATTGCTCGTCTCCGCTCACCTTGGCACTCTGCAAACATCTCGCCCCCAATTGACTGGGCAACCAGTGGGGGCTGACGTTTTCCAGCTCGGTCAAGCAGTGCAAGGTGCCGCCCTCCGCACGGTTGCATCGTGGTTTTGATGAGCGTTGAAACCACTTAGCTCCTAAGAACGATGCAGGCCTGGTAGCATGCGCATTAATTCTGCCTGGTTCGGGGGGGGGGGGACGAGCTCACCAGGATAATGGTCCTTTGCTTGAGGATCCCTTAATTCAGCTTTTGGAATAAAAGTAACATCTGCAGGTTAAAATCAGCGCTTGCCAGAAACAATCAGGAGCACACATATGTCACATAGGTGTGCTGCCTATACTGAACTTTCCTGATTTTGTCGGCAATCAAGTTGCACCAAGATGCAGGGCATGTTTGCTCAGGCAAGTCGGCTGGGCTACAGCCCAGGGAGAGAGCGGAGCCTGCCCGGGTGCCGCCCCAGAGGCAGTCGTTCAGCCGTTGCTTAGCTTTTGGACGACGAACTTGAAGGTGTTGCAGGCGGAAAGCCTCGAGAAGGAGCGAAGAGAGAAGAGGGGCGGCGCCGCTCGCCAGGGTGCCTGCGGTGCCAGCCAGTGCGGGCAGCACGACCGCCAAGCAAGTTGCAGCCCAAGCCAGCAACATGAGAACACTTCCGTGCCAACAGCCGAGGAGGCAGATGCAGGGGTGAAAAAGCCAAGCAGCCGGTGCCCCAATTCTTAGAGGGTCAAGCCAAATGTGTTCACCACCTTTTGCGCTAGGCTATGCGCCAGAGCCATCCAGGTCGTGGCTTTGCGCGTGCCTTAGATGTAGTTTGTGCCCACCCCAGGCCGGCAAAGGCTGCGGTAGCTGCGAAGGCTGGCAGAGCCTGGCCTTGAAAAGATTCGGCCTACGACTGGCGCAGGCCGCTCCCAAGTCTGCTTCAGGACCGCAGGAGAGGCAGCAGGCAAGTGCACTTGGCGGTTGTGGCAGCGCATTATGGAGCCGCGAGGCAGACAGTTCGGGCCAGCGATCCGAAGCGCAGGCGCGGGTTGCTTCAGAGTTGCCAGTTGTGGGGAGCAGTGCCAGGGCCGAGCTGCCTGGCGGGAGCGCTTTGAGGATGGGAACTGGGTTGTTCGGTTCGGCACGCAGCTTCGGACTTCCAGGTGATGAGGCCCCTCGTTTTCGTTCGGGAATGTCCTGGCCTGAATGCGGCAAAGGTCGCGCAGGCCCGGGCAACCAGATGCAACCGGAGATCATTTGAAATGATCCTGACAGGTCAGCAGAGGCAAGCTGACTTGTTTCAGTGGCCGGTGAACCCTTGTGCTATCAACACAGGCGGATATTCCATGATATTCCCCTCCGAAAGTGATGAACCCCCACTAACAGTAACAGGACACCCCCCTGTTCATCAACCATTAATCCATTATTGCAGCTGCTATGCCAGTCTCAGTTCTTTGGCAGGTTGCATGGTCTCGGGCGAAGTGGAGAATGGCTGGCTGTGCACTGCACTGAGGGGTTAGCTTCCACCGTGCACCTCCACTGCCCCGATTGAGTCTGATGCGGTTTTTCCCTCGAGGGAAAGCGTTCAAGCTACCGCCTTTGCGAGGAGGGAGCAACAAGAAAGAGCCAGAATTCGGGGCTCCCATCGTTCCAGGGCTTCAACTCTAGATCAGGAGTTTCGGTCAGTGCACTTTGTACGTTGGGGACAGCAAAGCGGCTCCAGGCTTGCGTTGCTTTTGTCCGCAACCCTCCTTGACAAAGTCCGCGTAGTGTGTTTGTGTGTGTTTTGTGTTGTGTGTGTGTGTGTGTGTGTGTTGTTTTTTGTGTGTTTTGTGTGTTGTGTGTGTGTGTGGGCGTTGTTGGGTGTGGATGAGTGGGTGGCCTGGCTCACAGGCCTGGACTCAGAGTCCCGCATCACTGCCAATGCGGTTGCCTCAGCTGAGAGGATGTGAGGAGCGCCGGTGTTTAAGCGCCTTCCCCCCCCCCCCCTGGTTTATTCGTCTCAGGTGCCTGAGACGGCTGCTGGCGCTTACATGCTGATTGATGGCCGCAATCATGGGCCTGCATCTTTGAACGGACATGGAGAGCCTGGCTAAATACAAAAGCGAAGGCTGGGCCTCCTGCTGCAGTCGCGGGGGCCTTCAAAAACCATGGGCCTTTGACTCACGAGCCAGCGGCGAGCGCTGAGGCGGGGGTGCCATGGCAGCGGCAGGGACTCCCTCGCCAAGCCGCTGGAGCCGCTCGACCGGGGACTCCGCTCGGCTTCAGCTGAGCCGCCGGAGCCGCTTTGCCCTTGTGCATTTGCAGGTTTGTCGCGCTCACAAACCTGCGGATGAGGGCCAAGCCACAACCCTCAGCCGAGATGCAGTTCGATGGCCGTCGCTCGGGGTTGTTTGGGCCATTGATCTGCCCAGGTTTGGTCAGTTGGCCACTTTGTGGCATGTTGAACTCATTTGCGGGATTCAACCTGGGTTTGTAGCTGCAGGCCCGACCCACGCAGCTCAAGTGGCGCCGTCGTCGCGCGGGCCGCAGAGTCAAAGTTATCTTACACCGCTCAGACTTGGATGACCAACAAATCCGCTGCCCAGGTTCAGGGTGCGACAGTGGAGGGATTTCCCGGAGCAAGGCCCCTAACTGGGCATGGGGGTCGTAAGGCCTAGTTTCCTGGCAATGTCCGCGCGACATCGGGCTCAATGTCGCTGTGCTGTGAAGGGTCTGCATGTCTTGTTCCGAGGCTGGGTTTTGGCTGGAGGTTGTTGGTGGGGGCTTTCTTCCCATTACTTCGCTGGGGCCTCAGGCGGCCGAGGGAAGCCCACACACGTCTACCCGTGTTCTTCCTTTGCCCAGGGCAGCTGAAGACCATTTGGCTGAGGAGGTGAAGGCACGCCTTCTGCACACACACGCGCACGAACTCACATACACACATATGACTCATATGACATTGCATCACTTCACCATACCATGCCATGCCCTTACCATACCATACAAGTACCAGTGCCAGTACTACTACCATACCATACCTGCCAATAATCAGTAACCAGAAACAAGTAACAAATCACTCAAAATCAATTCCGTCATAACCAGCAGTTCAATAGCCAGCAACCAAACACCATGCCAATGCCCATGCCAATGCCACACCACAACACCATGCCAATGCCAATGCCAATGCCAATGCCAATGCCAATGCCAATGCAAATGCCAATGCCAATGCCAATGCCAATGCCATACGTGTGTACATGCGTGCATACGTACGTACGCAAGTTCGCTTGCGCACGTACGCACGGACGTCCGTACCTGCATACATGCATACATGCATACATACATACATACATACATACGTACGTACGTACATGCATACACGCCGTGAGACAAAGCCGCGGCTAATACCCACAGAAAAGCAGCGTGCCGTGTCTCCGAATTAGGATTTCCTCGAACTGCGCGGGGCCGTTGCCTCATTGCAGCGACCAGCGAGCGCGGCTGGAACCGGGCACCGCCTGAGGCATTGCAGCCTCTGGTGCCGCAGGCTTTCGCGGAAGCCATCCTCGTGAGGCTGGAGCGACCTGTCAGGCAGTGAGGCAAGGCCAGTGGCCAAACCCAAGGTGGGAGCCCCTCCCGCTCCTACCAGCCACTCGCGTAGAGTACAGTTGCGCTCTCGGATTGGTGGGCAAACCCATGGGGTGCAGTGCGGCAAGAAGCTTTCCCCAGGTTTAGAGTGGCACGATCAGGAGGAGAGAGCCCGGCGTGGCCGAGCAGCAGCCTTGGAGTGGGCTGTTGTGGTGGGATTGGCTGCTTGACGGACAGGTGAGCGCAGCCAGAAGATGCAGCGCCCACCTGCGGTCCTTGCCACCAGCGGTTCCGCGCCACTGGCTACTTACCAAATTGGACTGAATGCCCTTCGGCGGGGTCGAGACGAAGCCGTCCTAGGGGTTCAGCGGACGCATGGAAGCCCTGCTCGTGCAGGCTCCGCGTGCGGCTTGTAGCGCAAGTCTTCGCCACTTGGCTGGGACAGCCGTTGTGTCACCTGTCTCTTGTTTGTTTTCGGAATGGGTTTTTCTTCGTGGCATTTTGGCAAATGCAAGTAAAAGGCGGTGGGTTTGCGCGGGTTCGGCCGTTTCTCTTGTGGCACTGCGGGCGACGGCTCTGAGGCCCCGCTGCCTGGAGGAACCTCCGCCGCGCGGGTGAAGGAGGATCCCACCTCGCGGTCCTGGCAGGACTGGAGCAGCGAACTTGGGCTCGGAGCTGGGCAGCTGGGTGAATGGCAGGACCAGCGCCTCGTGGGGCGGTGGCTCTATGGAGTCAGCGGCCTGGAGAAGCTTCCAAGAGGCAGAGACAATGCGAGCGGAGGCTATCGGCTATGAAGCCAAGGCCAAGCCTTCGGAATACCGCATCGGGCGCCGGACTGACGGCTCGCTGATTTTTGTAGGCCCATTTCAGATCTCAGCGGCAGATTTCAGTGGCAGATTGTGGCGCTTGCGTAGGCCCACATGCCAGCGGCACTGTGCCCGGGCCTTCAAAGCGGTTGGAGGCGTGGGACAGCAACCGGAGCTCAGGATGGGCGCCTTGGAGCCGGAGGGCCACTGGCTTCAAGCGGAGCTGGCGGCTGCGAGCGACTTTGGCTGCAGCCGAAGGCCCTTGAGAGCCACGGCGGCCGGAGATGCCGGATGTGAGGTGGAGACATTGTTGGTCACATCCGCTTGTTCTACGATGAGCAGGAACCTATCAGTGTGGGGATTCTGTCAGAAAAGCTGCTGCAACCAGGAGGATGGGGTCATCTCCAACTTTAAGAACATCCAGAGCCCTGACTGGGGCAGCTTGGCATGGGTAAGTGCATGCTTCGCAAGAGCAAGGGCAGCCAGCCAAGGTCGGGACATCATAGCAAAGAAGGCCTGCCACAGCGGAACATCCGCAAAGACTTGCCTTACCTCGAGTGCTGAGGGCGGCGATGAGGAGGTGCTGACCACCTTGGTGGGGCAGTGCTCCTGGCATGTTTAAAGCCTGTATTTACATCCGCCCCGTGATCTACGACTTAACGCCACGGGCGCTTTCAAATCAGGGTCCTTGCCGAGGTTGACCAAATCCCCCCCCCCCCCGCCCCCAAATCGGGTTCCTTGCAGGGTGGAAGAACCTCCGCATGAGCGTTTGTACCGCATTTGGGTCCACAACCCTTTCCCCCTCTCGGAGGCAAATCGGTGTCTTTGCAGAAGTTCAAGGAACACCTAAGTGAAATCGCGTGGAAAGTCTTTGCAGGTGGGTGCCGGTCAGTACGGCACCGCCCATCACACACGTCGAGGAGGAGGCACTTGCCCCAGTCTTGTTTAGAAGTGTCGCTGGCCGCGCTGGCCACAGGAGAACTGCTACGATCCGCTCTGCAACCGGCGTGGCCGTCGCCTTTGGAAATTCCTGCCCTGCACATTTGATGGCCTTGTGTCACTGAGGCAAGTGTCAAAAGTGCTCCTGCCGGCTGCTCAAGCTTTTCAGGGCCCTTTCAAGGGCTATGGGCCCAGGCCAGATCTTCATCATGTCCGAGCACTTGCTGGGCCAGGAGCCGCTGGCCCAAGGGCGCAAGGGGTGCGGATATCCAATGAAGCTTGGTGCTCAGCTCCTCTCTCCTGAGGTTGGAGGACATCTGCTGCAGAAGATGTGGCTGTTCTGTGGCTCATCACGCCGTCGGCTGAGTGGATGTGCTTGCTAGTGGGCAGGATGGAGTACCATACTGGAGCCATGGCACAAGGCCAAAGTGGGCAAGTACCGCTTGAATGTGAACGGCCGGGTGACGGAGGACCCTTTATTGTCCTATGGGCACAAGCAGGCCTCCGACCTTTGCGACAGGAAACTCACGCGCCTCCACCACGCCCGCTCCCCGGCATGGGGCTTGACCCTGCACCTTGTGTTCCCTTCCCTCACCCCCCCCTCTCCCACCAAAAAACGGAAACAAACAGCCAAAAAACGAAAACCTGAGACAACTCCGTTGGCAGATGTGCGGGGCACGCCGCCAGTGGCGCGACGCCGCGACATGCGCCATGCGCTCGTCGGTGATTGATCTCCAGGCCCCAGCCCCGGAGCTGCCCCCAAGACGCCCTGGCACTGTTCACCTTGTCCATGTCTTTAGTGGAGGGCGACCAGTTCTTCTTCTTTTTTCTCCCTCCTTTAATAAGGGACACCAAAAGGCAAAGCACAAATCTGGGGCCGAAACAAAGATGCAGCATCTTCGGCTGAGATTTCTGAGTTCTTTGAGAGTGGGGGGCAGGGATGGCCGGGTGGCCAGGGCTGCCAGGTCTCCCATGGACGAAATCCCCAGCCGCCTGTGGTCAGTGGATGCCGACGGCTCGCTGGCCTGGGGATGTGCAGCCAACCTGTTTTGCCCAAGGCAGCGGATGAGGATCCGGTCGACTTCATCATCAAGCTTTGGGCTGAAATGGCATATGACATGATATGACGAGGGGTGCTGGTTGGGGCAAGATGGTATGCAGTAAGGCAGCTGGAGCTGGCAAAGAATCTCTATGAAGTCTTGGGAGTTCCCCCAAGCGCTTCTGCGCTGGAGATTCGCCACAGCCTTGATTTCAAGATCGCTTGTTGGGAATCATTTGCCAGCAAGGTCAGGCCTACCGCGCAATCTCACTGAGAGTGCTGCGCTTGGGCGATGAGCAGACAGAATGGCCGGAACAGAGGGTGACAGAATCACCCAGAGGTGCACCCTGACAAGATCAGTGGCATGCCGGAGCTGCAGCCTCAGTTGGATTGGCGCCAAAGCTGCTAGTCTTTCCATTCCTTCGTCTGCAGGGCTGCTGCTTTGGCTGAAGACGCCTTCAAACTGGCCTCGTCTGCGTACGAAGTTCTCAGCGATGAGGTGGAGAGAAAGTCCTACGCGGGGACCTGAGTTGACGTGTTGCTCACCACCCTTTTGGGTTGCACGACCCAGGCACTGAAACCCGACTCACGATGGCCCCTGTTAATTTATACAGACATCAAAGTTGCCAGGGCCGATGCGCGGTGATGACGTCATCAGTTGACACCGTTAATGCACGCTGATGATTTCCTTAAAGATGCCAGCATCGCATCAAAGTTGACAGCGTTGATGCTCGTTGGTTAACTTCTTCAAAGTGCGTGAAGTGCGTTGACGATTTTATCGCAGTTGCAGCGTTGATGTGCGTTTTGTTTGTGTTATTTTTAAATCAAGGTTGCAGCGTTGATGTGAGTTGATGATTTCACCAACGCTGCAGCGTTGACGCGAGTTTTAATGATTTTGTCAAAGTTGCCTCGTTGGTTGTTGCATCAAGGTTGCAGCGTTGATGCGCGTTGATGATTTCACCAACGTTAACGCATTGATGCGAGTTGATGATTCATCAAAGTTGCGGCGTTGACGCACCAATGATGAGCCGGCAAAGTTGCACGTTGATGAGGCGATCAAACGTTGCCAGTGTCCGTGCTTGGTGATGACCCCATCAAAGTTGCAGCCTTGACGCCACGTTGACAACCCCCCGGTTAATTTTTAAAGGGTCGAGTTTTTTTTTGTGTCTTTTTTTCCTCCCCGTCCTGGCTACTATTTACAGCATTTTCTCGCGAAATGTACGTATTTTACGCTAGTCCGTCAACATCATCAGCATCGTTTTCAACATCCAGCTAACATCCCCAGCATCACCAGCAAGTCGGCAAGGTAGGCAGGCATTTATGTATGCATGTTAAAAAGAGGGGCGGGTCCCCCTCATGGTAAAAGTGAGGATTCAAATACGGGCAAACTAATCCCTGTAAAACACCTAAAACGTAGTGGGGGGGTTGCGGCAGCCCCCCCATGATGATTGAAAAAGTGATGATTCAATTAGGGGTGCATTTTAATCTCTGCCAAAAATCCAAAAAGTAGCGGGGGGGGGGGGTTGTGGGGGGGGGCAGCCCCCCCCATGAGATTGACAAAGTGATGATTCAATTAAAGGCGAAGGGGGGTTGGGGGGGGGGGGCGGCGCGTGCATTTTAATCGAAAGGGGGGAAGCCAGAAAGCCGCCAAAGCCAAAAAGCCACCTGCCGCAGCGGAACTGGCAATGCAGAGGATGCGAAAAGACAAACAGAGAGGAACTGTGAATGCAAAAGCACGCGAAAAGACAAACAGAGAGGAACTGTGAATGCAGAGGACGCGAAATGCAAAAGCCACAAAAACCCACGTAAAATCCACAAAAGCCAAAAAGCTGAAAAGCCACCCACCCTGAAAAACAAAAAATCCGTTAAAAAAAACAAAAAAAAACAAAAAAAACACAGAAACCAAAAACAATCCCAAAAAAATGGTCCTCCATTCTTAAATCCACCAACCAGGCTGGCAGTCAAACTTTGCAAGCCACCAAAGTGCACCCCGAGTCAGGCCAGGGTTCAGACTGCGTCCTGAGCCTAGGACCGAGAGCTGCGCGCGGAGTTTGTGAGGCTCGCGAAGCCCAAGCCGAAGCCGAAGCCGAAGCCGAGAGCGCAGCAGGGACGCCCGGAGGGCAGAAATGCTCCAGGGTGGGCGCAGCCAGCTGTCGCGCTTTGACTTTGGGGACTCAAGAGAGTTGAGGGTGGCAAGTGCTCAAACGGTCGTACGCTGGATGCAATTGCCTCTCAATTGCTTGCCTTTGCATGCGGTCTCGGCATTTGGCGGCAGAAGTTGTGTCTCACTGTGGTGTGTGTGCCCCCTTTCAATGAGCCCAGGCCGATCGCCAAACAGCTTGGGCCCTAAGGTCCAAGGCAAGGACAAGTGTTGGCATGGCTGCTAGCTGATCACTCGCAAGGGAGCCAGCGCCAGTGCAGAAAATGCCGGCTTTCTGGGCCTGGATCTTATGCTTTGAGTTCCGAGCTTGCCCGATCGAAGCCGAGCTTGCTGCACGGATGCAGGCATGTTCGACTGAGGATACTGCAGACGGCGAGGGGGACACAGGACGGCTGAGAAGATCCAAGCATGCGCCACCGCTGGCACAAAGCATAGCGTAATCAGGCAGAGGTGTGGATGAGTTCTTCAAGTGGACAGCTTAGATGACCTCGGGCTTCGCACCACTGCTGCTACCTAATGGGAATAACAGCTTGAGATCCAGTTCAAGTGAGCTTCCTTTTGAGATTTGGAGTTGAGTTTCCATTCGATTTAATTCATATTGCTGGAGCTTCCTTTTGAGATTTGGAGGTGAGTTTCCATTTGATTACATGTTGCTGGAGCTTCGCCTTGAGATTTGGAGTTGAGATCCCATTTGGCTTAATATTGCTGGAGCTTCCTTTTGAGATTTCGAGTTGGGTTCCATTTGATTTGGTATTGCTGTTTGGGATTTGGAGTTGAGTTACCATTTGGTTTAGTTCAGCTGGAGCTTCGCTTTGAGATTTGGAGTTGCGTTTCCATTTGGTTTAAAGTTGCCGGAGCTTCCTTTCAGACTTGGAGTTGGGTTTCCATGTGATTTGGTACCGCTGGGGCCTTCTTTCGTGATTTTTTTGGGGGGCGGCAGCAAGACGTCATTCCCGGGGCCCCTGAGATAATATCAAATTGGTTGCCTGAAGTGCTACCAATGTGGGTTTGGTTGTGCGGAGGTTTTAAACAAAAGACATGTAGGAAAACATTCTTTCCTGACCATTTGAGGGCCCAATGTAACAACAAAGCCTGGAGCGTCGCCAGCGTCACCTAGGCAGTTTAAATACCTACCTAGCTAAACGGCAACTACACTGGGCAGGTTGTGGGATTGATTGCTCCCGTTTTGTGAGAAAACATGGCACTGAAGAACAAGGTACAAAAGATCCAAGGACCAGGTGTTGGCTTGGCTACCTCTCCTCTCCTTTCTCTCCTTCTTGTCTTCCTTTTCCCAAAAGCTTGGGTTTCGTTTAGTTGCTGAGGGAAGTGGGGAGCGAGGTTTTTCGGCTGGACGAACCGGGGCGGAGCTTCACGCTGCGGAGTGGATGCAACGGGCGGGTCGCAATTCTGGAGAGACGGAGGTGGAGCGATGCTGGGGAGACGCAGCGGCTGGATGGTAGCCGGGGCAAAGTGATGACGGAACTTACCAGAAATGCATTCTTGCCACCTTTGCGCGTAAGGTGGCAAGAATGTTTTTTGTCCGGGTATCCTGAGCCAGGAGCCGCACTGTGACAAAGACGCATGTTTTGACCAAAAGGTATTCTTGCCACTTTCGCGCGAAAGCTGGGAAGCAGCCCTGCGGTGTGATTTGAGATCGCGCTGGTCATGTGACGCGCTGGGCAGAAGCCTCCCCCACCTTGGGAGAACGTTTGCTTCGTTTGCTTCACCTGCGCTTGCTTTGGGGTACCCGGGCTGGGCTTGGTTCATCTTTGTATTTTTCACAAATTATTCCAGGGGCATTTGCCCTTTGTCTTTATTCTGGGTGCATGTTTCCCCAACAGCTGAGAGCTTTGGGGTCTCAGCCAAGATAGGCTCCGGGGCGGCTCTGAGGTATGGTTCCGCAGGGTTGGGTGGGTGCGAGCGTTCCGCTTGAGGTTCTGCAGGGTTCTGCGAGGGCTCAGGTGGTTCTTGGGGCGGCTCTGAGGTAAGGTTTCACAGGGTTCGGCGAGGGTCGAAAAAGAGCGCCGCGTGCAGTTGGGGATACTGCCTGAGCTTACTTCATCCCAGGTGGACATTACGGTTGTCCCGCCAAGGAATCCAACAATCGGCACCTTCATGAACTCGCCTTATTATGGCGAGGACGGGGTGTCAGGGACCCAGCAGGTTTCATGCGACGAGACATCATGTTCCATTCATGCTGTGTCCCCTTGGCGTAGCCTTGAAGCCAGAATTGCCTTCTCGAGCTCTTTCGGACCTCTCCCGTCACTTACGCAGAACGCTTGGGTAGAGGCGCGTCCACCACTTTTCGTGGCCAGAGGTTTGGCACCAGCGGCACCATCAAGGAGAACGCGGCCGGCGGGTTCAGCTTTGAGCTGCCGGGCGGCGGTGGCATTCACATCGACAGCGGCAATGGCCGCTGTCCCAGTGCGGACTTTGTTTTTCCGCTTTCGCTTTCCTTTGAAAACTTTAGGATTTGAACCTCTGGCTTTTGTTTGTAGAGGCCCCCAACCTCCAAACCACCAATTCAAACCACCATTGGAGGGAAACTAACGCCATGAGTACCCGGTGTGATCACTTGACATGGTGCATCAAGGCTTCCAGCGACGTACTTCGCTCAGTTCCAGCTGCGCGTGAAAGACTTTGTTAGGGGTTCTTGGCGGCCAGGCGAATCAGAAGGTTTGCATGGCATCCAGTTGTTTGCTCCCCACAATGGGCCAAGTCAAGCAGATGGAAGACGAGATGGCCAAGACAGGGCACATCCCGCGGGGTGCTCAGAGCACTTGAGGATATCAGTGGAAGAGGGCATTTGGGGATTTGGAGGGACTCGCGGCTGCGGGTGCCCTGACCAGACCTGCAGGCCGCACATGTGGCCGCAGCACTTGTTCCCCCAGGTCCCGCGAGCTGGGTGTCGTGTGCCGTGTCGTCGTTCGCAGGCGAGAAGGTTTTGCCGGTTTTGCCACGGACTGTGACCTGACTGGCTCAGAACTAGGTGGCAAGCCGCAGCCCAAAGAAGTTTGTTTCCACCCCATAGACCACTTTCAGGTTTTGAAGGCTTCGCACCTCGGGTGGGCCGATGGCGTGGCTGGGCCGCAAGCCGCGGAGATCCGTGGCTGGCCATGAGAATTCCCTGCGAGAAGCAATGCGGCCGGGACCCCAACCCCACATCTTAGAGGCTCAAAACGCGGCGAAAGGCCGAGATTTCGTGTGTCAAGAATCACACTCCTGAGGTCTCGTGGAGGGGTCGCCGCCAAGCCAGCGCCGGCTCCTACAGATATCGAGGCCGTTTGTGTGTGTTGCTGCAAGGTGTAGGCAGGTGTTGGGATTTCCATCGAGCCGGTGACCAGCGGTTAAGTTCTACAGCCAGGACAACGAGCCAGATCCAGAGAGAAGCACTTTGGAGTGGCTCAACCTCAATGCCTTCGCCCCCAAAGCTATCCAGGGCGCACTCGACCGCATGAGAGCCACCCTGGGAGAAGAAGCGCAGGCCTTTGGGCTGGGGTGTGAGTTTTTTTTGATTGGTAAACCTTTTGTTTTTTCGAGGAGCTCCAGTCTGTTCCAAGTTTTTTCCTTTTCGTCATTCCATGTCATTCCCGTTGTACTTTCGCCCTGATCCTGGGACTAGTCCAGGCCAGGCTTATGTTTTGAGGCTCATGTGCTGGCATTGGTGAATGACTCAGCAATTGCCCGGAAAAGGGCCAACATTCGCGCATCCCTGGGTTGCCTTGTGGACAGGATGGACCATTTGTCCATCCAACTTTGATTTCCGGCCTGTCAGGCGAAAGCGGAGGGCTTGCCTGCGTCACCTCGGCAGAAAACCGTTGAAAGCCGAACCTTGGCCTGAGCTCCATGGGGATTCCGTGACTCGTTGATGCCGTGTTCGGCAAAGTATGAATGAAGCCTGTTGGTTTGTAGATGCAATCCACCTCATGCCTTTCCTTTTTCCTTTTGGCTTTTATGTGGACATGCGTGATGTGTACGGCCAGTGGCTGCATACAGAGTGCCCCAGAAAGATTGTTTTCAAAAGTGCATACAAAGTGCCCTTGCATGCCATGAGGCCGCTCGGGGAAGCTTCCTTTTCCTTGTGCAGGAAATGGTGCAAAAACAAATCTGCCCGTCTACTGTACGATGTATCCAATTTCTCCCTTGGCGTTTTCCCATGGCATGCATGGCCAGTTCTCCTCTCTGCGCTTCCTCTTCGGGTTCCGGGCGCGGTTTCGCTTGGCCGCGCCGAGTCGGCAGCTCCCTCAGCTCGGCGCTGCGGGCGCGCGGCGGCATCACGAGGAGCTCCCTGGGACCTGAGTCCCGGCCGCAGGACGGGACACGGCGGTTGGGAGTCGCAAGGCTGAAGCCAAGCACAGAAAGCCCTTTCGACGCTTGGCGTATGATTTTTTTCTTATCAACTTAGATGCAGGGTCCCAGAAAACCGGGCCCCCTTTTCGCAGCCCCGCCCGAAGCTGGGTTGGCGCTTGAGCTACCCTTTGACGCTGAGAATGGCTGACGCTGAGATTCGGCGCCTAAGTTCGTGAAGCTGAAATTAGCGCCCGTGGGGGCCTGCCGCTTCAAATCGGCTTCAAGCTTTTAATCCGACGGAAGCTGAAATTAGGTTTTCCGTGAAGTTGACGCTTGGATCCGCGGTTTTGCGGCTACGCCACTACGCCGCCACAGCTGAACATCGCACTACGCCTCTTTAAACATTGTCCGGCTCTCATAGACGTTTTTACTCCAAGAAGAGTAGCCATTTTGGCTCAAGCAATTGAGCCGGCTAAAAGCTTCACAGAAGTTACCTGTCTGTCGCAGCAGGCTATGACCATTTGTGTTCTAGGATGCCCTCAGGATGCTCGTCACCCTGTTGGTGCTCTATCTTACCACAGATTGGTTGACACAGTTTGCCGCTTGTCGGATCAGCGTTCAGCCTCTGTGTGAAGCGAAAGTTCTTTTTGGCTCGCCCTGCACACCTGTGCCTCTTGGAGAGGTTCTCAGGCATTCCTTGGAGCCCTTTCGCGCCCTTTTCAGGCGTTTGTCCCTCCATATTTTATCGGCCCATCCGGATAAGGGAGGAACTGACGAGTTCTTCCGGGAGGGACTGCGGCGTCTGGAGCCGGGTCCGCTGAGCTAGGTCCGAGTCAGGCCTGGAGTAGAAATGCGCATGCTTCGCCGCAGCAAATAAAAGTAAGCAGTTCTGGCGGACAGCAGGCCAAAATACTTGGGCTCTTCTGTGTCTCTGCTTCCAATTGTTTATCTACCTAAATTTCTCTATCTACCTGTATTTGAAGATATCCATTGCTACCTGGCCAGTTAACCTGTTGGTTAGCTAGAGGACGCCGCGAGCAAAGTGAAACAGAGGACGGGTGGTTTAGCTCAACTCACCGAAAATCCTCAGATTTATCCTTTGATGGCTGCGAATAGCGGTTTCGCGGGCATTTTCAGCTTTGCCCCGAATTTTGTTTTCGCGCGAAATTCGGCATTGAATTTCGTCTTCGCGGGCATTTTCGGTTCGCCCCGAATTTGTTTTCGTTTCTTTCGGCTTCACATTTTGTCTTCGCGGGCATTTTTCGGCTTCGCCTCGAATATCGTCTTTGCCAATTTCGGCTTCGAATTTCGTCTTCGTGGCTGGCATTTTCGGCCTCGAGTGCCGTTCGGCTTTGTCTCACCTTCTCGTCTTCGCCAATGTCGGCTTCGAATTTTGTCTTCGGGGCATTTTCGGCCATTTTCGGCTTCGTGCTACGTGTAATTTATTAAACGGTCATTGAACTTTATTGCTTCGTTGTCTTCGCAATTTTGTCTTCGGCCACCCAGCAAAATGGGGACCCTCTCCCCAGGTCAATCCTTAGATGGCTACCAAATGTCGCAACTACCATGTCACCAACACTTCCTCAACGCTTCGTGGCTCAAGTCAAGCGTTTGCCGGGGCTCGTCCAAACAGCGTCACTGTTTATGGAACGCTGCGAGACGTGGCCGAAGCATGCAGTGGGACACGCTACACTAAATAAAGACCTCACCTCAGGCGAGACAATTTTCCAGCCGCAATCCTATACTGTTCAGACTTTCGGGTCGGATCTGGATGTGCGAGTCGCATGTCGGCAAATTTGCAGTTCCCCGAGTTTTCTTTCAGCTCCGCTGAGGGGGGCGCGTGTCCAATCTTTGGAGGGGTTTTTGGGAGAACTGAACAAGTTGAAAGTGGGAAACACCTATGGCTAAGAATGTGGTACATCTCCGTAAAAGAGCACAACACACCGTGCTTTCCCTCTCAGTTCTTTCCATTCTTGGCGGAGAATTGACAAAGCTGCCAAAGCGCAAAGCATTCAAGCCTGGTCGAAGCCTTCTCACACTCTTTTCGTTCTTGGGAGCCCGTGAAATAAAGCCTTGCCAAACGAAATTGGGGGACCAAATTGTTTGTTAGGAGGGCCAGAAACATTGAGAAGGCATGGTCTTCTGGGGAAGCAGGATCTCGCCTTGTCCCAGGTGCTTTCTCTTCATAGAAAGGTGTTTCCTTGGCTTGGGTGGTTTTGTGTTCGAAGTTCGGCTCGCTGCGTTGCTGCATTGCAGTTTTCCCCTTGGGGCACTTTCAAGGAGCCCACTGAGCCATGCGGCCAGGAGGTCGGTGGGGTCGGTCGGTGTTGAGCAACGGCATGGGAGTGGATGCTTGGTGGGAACCTCAACAAGCATGAGGATCTAAGCCACTCCTGCGTTTCTGGCGGCCGGGGGGACTGGTTTCGGTAGGGTGGGAGATTGCGGGCAACATGGTCGTAGGACCTCAGAACCCCGAGCCCGAGCCCCACTCCTTTGAAAGAACAAAGGCGGGTGGTGCCAGTCGCATGTCCGAGGGCTGCTTGTGTCTGAGGATCGACCAAAACCTCCAGTGTTTTTTTGTTTTTTTGGGAGGTTATGTGCTATCATGGGATGAAGCCCTGCTCGTGTGCTGCACGAGTACTGAAATGTTGTTCTGCTTGAGCTGGGTCAGCTCGTGCTCTGCTGGTACTTAAAGGCTGCGATGTTTCGTACCTTCTTGCTTTCTGCACTAGCTCTTCCTCTTGGCTTGCTTTACTGTTTCTTTACCCAAACTGACTTATGTTCAGACACGTACTAGAACGTGTGGTTTTACTTGCATCGCGGAAGATTCGCGGAAGGGCGAGGCGGAAGGCAATGTTTGGAGCAAGGATTATTGGCAAACCCTCGTGTCTCTGTGTGGCCACTGAGGGTATGTGTGTCTCTCATGGCTGAGGAGTTACAAGGCTCTAGTCATTTGCATGACAGAGTTCTGAGCAGGCCCAAGGAGGAGGAGGAGGATGAGGAGGAGGACAGAATTCTCCGCAGCCCCAGGGAGGCGGGGGAGGACAGAATTCTCAGCAGGCGCAAGGAGGAGGAGGATGAGGAGGAGGACAGAATTCTCCGCAGCCTCAGGGAGGAGGGAGAGGATAGAATTCTCAGCAGGCCCAAGGAGGAGGAGGAGGAGGGCAGAATTCTCAGCAGGCCCAAACAAGAGGAGCAGGAGGAGGAGGAGGAGGGCAGAATTCTCAGCAGGCCCAAGCAGGAGGAGGAGGAGGAGGGGCAAAAGGACAGAATTCTCAGCAGGCCCAAGCAAGAGGAGGACGAGGAGGACAACAGAGTTCTGAGCCGGCCCAAGGAGGAGGAGGAGGAGGACAACAGAGTTCTCAGCCGGCCCAAGGAGGAGGAGGAGGAGGACAACAGAGTTCTCAGCCGGCCCAAGGAGGAGGAGGAGGAGAAGGACAGAATTCTCAGCCGGCCCAAGGAGGAAAGGGAGGACACCGCACCCCGGGTGCCGATGCCCACACCGCTCATGGCCGCGACGGCCTCCGCCAAGCGGGCGGAGCCACCGCCAATGGTGCAGACGCATAAGCCAGTTCAGGACTGGCCCCATGTCATGACAGGGCCCAACTGTGTGCTAATAAAACGGCGCCCTTAGCCGCATGTTAGATTCTTGAAGGCGCGTTTGGCCTCAGGGCGCAATGCTAGGAGTTGCCTGTCCCGACCAAGTCCTTGCCAGCGCCTGATGCCTATTTGAGCGCTCAGAGCAAGGAGGTTGGGAAGCTCAAGGACTGAGAGGGCCAGGGGGGGATCTCCATGGATCGCCACGGATCTCGGATGCTGCGAGCTTTGCGTCAGGAGCTGCGAGAGTTCTGGGGCAGCAAAAACTCCAAGGGCTTCGCGGGTCCCGGGCTTGCTGGCTCCAGGCAGGCGACACGGGCACAGCGAGAGCGATGTGGAGGCACTTTGGGTGCGCGCTTGCCTCGAAGGTTGTCCAAGAACGAGGCTCAAGCAACATTGCAGAGGCTTTTGATAGCAGGCGGAGATTGCACTTCCTGGCAGTTTAGATTCTGTTTTTGAAGGGTTCTTTGACCCCAGGCGGAGACTTTGACGAGGTGCGCCGCCTTCGCAAGATCATCTCAGAGCAGGACTGTTGACCTTTTGCACCTCGCCCGACCACGTCATGGCTTGCAAACGTGTTTTTGCAATCCGTCGTGAAATGTGAAGTGCTGCTCGCCACTCCAAGGTTTACTGACTCGAATCTGGGCAGTGAAGCTTAATGACGTTCATTCCATTTGTGGTAGCGTGGAGGTATTGGCAGCTGCTGAAGCAAGCATGCAGCCCCATTCCACATGAAAACTTCCAAATGTTTGCCGCAGGTCTTTTCCAAGTTGCAGCCACAGGCTGAGCTTCCCCAAACATGGTAGAGAGATTTGGACCAGTCAGATCAACAGTTCGCGTTCTCCGAGTGGCACAAGCCGACTGGCTGGCTGCGGAATTCGTGGTAGCACTGCGCGATAGCGACGGCTCAGCACCCAGCAGCCTTAGTCAAGTTCAGGCTGTGGTTTGGCACAATGTGAGGCGTTGCAAGGAGATGCCAAGTGGCACGCCCGCAAAAAGGGACCCGGTTTGGCATGCTTTTCCTTCAAATGACTTGGCAGAAGCTGGTAGGCAAAAAGAAAAGTCCGTGACAGCCACTCATAGCTAGTGAGACGGCATGGCCTGTCATGTGCAATCCTCGGCTTTTTGCCCCGCGTGAGCATGTTGACAGCAGGCAACCCACGGCTTCTCCGTCAACACCAGCCCTGCCTTTGCAGGGCTCCCGGTCCGCCATGTTTCGTAAGGATGCCAGAAAAGTTCTGAGACAACAAGCAGTCTTGGTCGCGGTGAGCTTCATTGGGGAAACGGATGAGAACAAGCACATGTGTCATGGCATGACAGAGGTGCGAACATCAGGCTTTTGTTCTGAGGGAACTGCCCGAAGACGGTATGCAACCACAAGAATCTCGGCACGGCTCAGGTGGGCATGCAGCAGTGGGAAGAGGCCAAGGCCAAGGCCAAGGCCGAGGCAAAGCCCGCCGAGGCTAAGGCCAAGGCGGCCGAGCCCAGGCGCGAGTCCGAAAGTCCTGATCCTTGCAGCCGTCAGCTTCTTCTTTCCGTTTTTTTTTTTTTTTGGGGGGGGGGTGAGCATTTGTTTTTTTGGGGGGGAGGTGAGCAATCAACATATCCCAGTCGCGCAAGCTACACTTGATCTGTGCCAGGTCTCAGGGTCAAGCGCCCAGGACAGCGGGATATGGCGGTTGGAAAGCTTCTTGCGATCGCGTGAGAGTTTGCGAGAGATGTTCCATTGCCAGGTTCATTGGCCAGGGCCAGGCAAGCGCCTCTGTCTTTTTTTGTGTGGCCGCGGGATTTCGCTTTTGCGTGTAGCAACGGTTGGCAGCTCGCAGGTGCCAGGCAGAAGGTGAGGGAGGGGCACTCGCAGCTCATTGAGCGGACTGAACGCTTAAAGGTCACATTGGGCCCAGCGCCCCATGACTTAAAGTCTCAAGGTGACGCCATGAGAGCTTTGCGCATTGCCTGCCTGCGCCTTGCGACACCGCCTGCCATGAGAGTGTGAGCAGCGAGAACAAGCGACGATGGTGGCCTTTGCACTGCGCCTTGGGTGATTCACATGCCCATCCATGGATCTTCACGCTGGTCAGAGCATGTTTCGTCGCCCGATCTTTTTGGCCAGGCATTTGCCGTAGCTTTCTGGAGAAGCGAAATGATAAAGACTAGCTGGAAGATGTCTTGCATACATCACACGGACAAGTGGCAGCACAGCACAGAGGAACCCACCCGCAGTGGTCATCACATGTTGCAACTACTCAAAAAGGGGGTTGCGTCGGAAAGCAAAGCGCACCAATCAGCCCACGAAGGGGAGTCGCTACCAGATGTACAAGCTCAGGCATCCAGCGCCCAGGACGGACATGCGCGGCGATTCGGAGGCTTTTGGTACTCTGTCGGCTCATTCTCAGGAGTGGCACTCGCCCACAGCTCTAGCTGGCCCATGCGCCCGGGCCCTCAGCTCCGACCTTCCTGTGATTTGGTAAGTCGTATATGTTGTGCATGTGGATATATAGGAGGGCTATATATAGGTATATATATATATATGTAGATACATTTTTACAGGGATCTATACATTTTTACAGGGATCTCTATATATATGATATACAGTTTAAACATATATAATAATATATACATGTACATAGTATATCAGTAGGTTGATGATTGTATTAACAGAATGTTTCTCATCATGGGTGTCGAGGCAGATCTTTTGCTCGCAACGACTACGGTGATCGCCGCGAAGAGGAGACGGGATTTCGGTGGCCACGCACTACCTTGCCTGGGTTGGTTTTATCCTTTCTGTAGGCAAAGGGTTGGATGTGGCTGGGTCAGCAGGTTCAGACACCACGTGGCCATTCTTTTTGGCAGGCCTGGCAAGGCGGGCACCGAGCTCGCTCCCAGGCCCATCAGGGAATACATGAGCTGGGTGGCCAACATACTCCTAGCCTCAAGATGTTGCTGATGGTGTGACGCACGAGTTGTTTGCATGCTGTGCCTCCTCAGGTGAGTGGAGATTCACGGTCCCGTGTGCCAGCCGCCCCCTTGGCCAATGAGTGCAAGACAGATCCCGGCGAAAAAAGTGTTGCTCCAACCCCAATGCTAAACGACGCGTGGAAGCATGTGCCGTCAGCAAGCAAACGCTGTCGGTGTTCCTTTTTGCTTTGGGCCTGGCCAAACAAAGTGTTGCACGCCTTCTCGCTGCCATTCTTGCATGCATTCATCTTTGCTGCCTTGCACTGCCGGGTATCCTTGAGCAGTGCACAAGGAGGTAGTGGGAAGGGAAGCCTTTCAAGCCGCCTTTCGTGAGGGACTCCTTCGCAGGCACGCAGCTGGCATGGGCACCGCGATAGCCGAGGTTGGGGCAGAACGGGAGATGCAGTGCAAGCAAGAGAAGGCCTAGGAGAAGCCTGGAGTGCATCGATGCGCGTAGGTCGGTCCTACCGGCGGCCTCGCCAGCGCCCCAAAGCAGACAGAGGGCTACACACTGGCAGCAGGTTGTGCAGAGTTCTTGAGCTGTGTGCTGTATGACTGTAGTTGAGGATGGTTTCATGCTGGCAGCCGGTTGCGTGTTGATTGGCGTGGCTTCAGGCGAAGATGACGGGAACGCCGGGTATGGCGACAGGGGCGCTCGGCGCAATGACCGGAGGCGGCAAAGAGCCCGGCCATTTCCAGAGAGTTCGGCATGGAGAGATCACACGACTGACAATTTTTTGGGTCTCCGTGAAGATCCGGATTGTGGTTGCCAGGCCGCGAGAAGCTTTGGCCAGGGGCCTTTTGCGATTTTTCTTTTGTTGGCAATGCGTGTGCTGGCGTCCTGAGAGCCCTCGGGCTTTGCCGGGCCAAGGACAGCCGTGAGCCTTCCGGATGGAAGGCTCGTGCAATGTATTGTAGTTTGGGAGGGGTGGCCAGACACGCAAACTGACAGAAGCATGTTGTCAGCTTGAGGTTCGGCAGCTATTCTCTTGCTGGGGCTTGAAAGTCCCTGGCCGGTCAGGATGACAGGGACTGGCGCGACGGCAGCCGATCTCGACAGTTTTGGCCTTGGTGCCTCCAGGGTTTTGTCCGGTTGGATTGCCTCTCTTCGATGTCTGGAATTCGATGAGTCTCGGAGTTTGTGACCCCACGTGCGGCTTCTTTTCTTCGGATTAGTGGCAGGGATGTTGTTTTAGGCTCTGCACCCATACGTGCAGACCCATGTGACTTTGCTAAGTGTCTCAGTTTGGGTCCCCTCGCCTCAGCCATGTTGGCTTCCTTGCCGCACGGCGGCTCATCCCTGCGGCCAGCGCATGCCCCAGCACAGCGTCTAGCCGCCAGCTTGGCCGAAATCGTTGGTCGGTAGGACGTCAACCGCCAAGTTGTTGATCCATGGATCCCTTTAGCACAGCAGCCCATGTGGTCTGACTTGACCATCACTTCGGTCAGGCCTGATCCATGGCAGAGGACGGGGAGGAGAAGCCAGCGCTTTATGTGACGACACAGCCCATCAAGGCAGTCACCCGGATGCAACTGGCCCACGCAAGAAGTTGTGGCTTTCGGGGGTGTGCTGAGGTGAAATGGAAGGAGAGAAGGGACAGGAGGAAGGAGAAGAAACAGCAGGCCAAAGAGGCTCCTGCTCAGCTAGAGACACTAGAGACATTCGCTGGAAGTTGGGTCCTTCAGGCAGAAAGGGCCCGACGAAGGGAGCTCGGCTTGAACAGCGATGACGACGACGACGACGACGACGACGAGGCAGCTGCAGTCCGAGAGACGGGCGAGAGCATTGCTGGCGCGCAGGTAGTCATGGACGATGGCAAGGCGGGCAGGGAAAACACGCGGCCGGCTGAAGACAATGCAGAGTTGCAGGACTACCAGCCACCACCAAAGGTTGAGGAGCCCGCAAAGAAGAGAAAGGCCTGGATGACTTGTGCTGCCTGCGGTGGGATGCTTGAGGTGCATTCAAGATTTCTCATGGCTTTGGTCCGGCCACGGGCACAGACGATCTTTGCGTGGCCACAGGCCAAGGAAGGAGAAGCAGAGCAAGTAGAAAAAGCGGAAGAAGCTCAAGAGCCGGCAAAGAAGAAGCGTTCCTCAGATGCATGCCGCTTTGGATCCGTCCAGCTTTGAGCGCTTGCGCCTGGGCTGCCGCACTTCTCACCAGGCAAGAAAAAGAAGGCAAAGCCGGAACCAAAGAAAGAGCCCAAAGAAGAGGCAGAGAGTGAAGACGAAGAGGAAGCTGAAGAAGCCAAGGCTAGGCAATTGGGTGGTTGACATAAGCGCAGTGAGCATAGTAGCTGATGGTCAGGAAGAGGTGGAGCAGGAGCCGGGTATTTCGCATGATATGCAGAGCCTCGCCAAGCACTGGTGCCATTTGCTTCTGGGAACTTTCCAAGTGAGCTTGGCACAGTCAGCTTTGGAGTGAGGAAATCCATTCACAAAGCCGGCTTTTTCAGTGAAAGCCGCTTTGACTCCCTCGAGATTTGCGAGCCGCTGAAGAAGGCAGGTACCCAACCAGGTGTCATTTGGGAACCCGAGAAGGGCGGTTCGAGCGGCTTCAAGGTGTTCCCTCTCAGGCGCTGAAGGAGAACAACTTCGAGGTGATGACAGAAATCCAGGCCAAGTCCATCCCGCATTTGCTCAAGGGCAAGGATGCTGCCCGGCTCAGATGGAACTCCCAGCATTTCCTTAGTGCTGTGTTTCCTTGGTAAGGTACTCGCAGCTGCCAAGACTGGCAGCGGAAAGACCTTGGCCTTTCTCGTTCCAGCCTGCGATCTGCTGTACAACGTCAAGTTTCTGCCACGATCCTCCTCCTTGTAGCATTGCCACTTTGTTTGTCTACGCTCTGCACAGAGTGTGCCAAATGTTACCACTGTCCAATGGTGGTTGTATCCGATTGTCCCCATGTTCGTTTTCTCTCTGAATGCTAGCCCGAAGGCCCCGGTTGTCAGAGCGAGCCACTCCAGTGCCTAAGCACGCGTGCCCATTTCGGCGTCAGAAGTCAGAGGTCAAAAGTCAGCAGTCGGAAGTCCGTTTTCCCCTGAGGAAACGGCGTGGGCGCCCTGGCCATCTCTCCCACGCGGGAGCTGGCGCAGCAGATCTACGACGTGCTGCGGAACGTCTCCAGGTACATGTCGCAGTCCATCTGCGTCTGCGTGGGCGGCATGAACCGGAAGCCGGAGGCGGAGAAGCTGGCCAGGGGCATCAACGTGCTGGTGGCCACTCCCGGCAGGCTGCTGGACCACATGCAGAACACCAAGGGCTTCGTGTACCACAACCTGGTGAACCTGATCATGGATGAGGCCGACCGCATCCTGGAGACGGGCTTCGAGGATGAGATGAACATGATCATCAAGCTGTTGCCCAAGAAGCGGCAGACCTCTTTGTTCTCAGCGACGCAGACCAGAAAGGTGGCCGACCTGGCGCGCCTGTCTCTCAACAAGCCCGTCTTTGTGGAAGTGAAGACGAAAGACAACGTGTCAACGGTTGCGGGCTTGACTCAAGGGTATGTGGTTTGCCCCGCGGAATCCAGATTTCTGCTCCTCTTCACCTTTCTGAAGCGGAACAGGGACAAGAAGGTGATGGTCTTCATGTCTGCCTGCAATGCCGTCAAGCCCCCTCGCCGCACTGAAGTGGTATGTTCTACTGCCATAAAGCTGGTTTCGGCGTTCAATCCCAGGTTCCATGATGAGCTGCTGAACTACATCGACGTTCCGGTGCAATGCATTCATGGGCATAAGAAGCAGCAGGCGAGAAGTTCTACGCACCATGGCTTCTGACTTGGATCATGCCTCTTTCCGCTGTTCCTTGTTCTGTGCTTCTTTTCCGAGTTGGCTATGAGCCTGATGCGAATCCTTGACAGCCAATCATTTTGCTTTAAGTGGCCACTGTGCCACTTTGCCACTGTGCCATGACAAGGTACTACCAGTTCTGCGGTGCGGACAAGGGCATCCTGGTGTGCACTGACGTGGCGGCTCGTGGCCTCGACATTCCCAAAGTGGATTGGATCGTCCAGCAGCTCAGCTGTGACCAGTATGAAATATGTCACCACACGACCCCTCGGCTTTAGGTGTCTTGCCCCGGGGATCCCAAAATGCTGGAATCAAGGCAGTTGCCATAGGTGTCCTTTTTAGGTTAGTTTGAGAAATAGATGGCACTGGTTTAGATGGGTTTTATTCCAGTTACCAGGGCCATCTATTTTTCCAAGCGGCCACCTATGGCAGTTGCGCCCTTTATCTGCTTCTCAGGTATGATCCGCCGGATGAGCCCAAGGCAGTCTGCTGATTGATTGCCCGCTGTATGCTGGTCTTGTGTGTTTTGCCCTCACCCCCTGAACCCAGGAGAACGCACGTCATGGACACTGGGTACGCAATCCTATCCATGAATACGTAGTAAGATAAAGCGTAAGGGGACTTTGCCTTGCTTGATGTCCCCAGGGTGGCTTTGGCTCACGGATTGGTCCATTCCGATCCCTGTTGTCGACCGGAGTACGAAGTGCGGCCGTCGCGCGCAGGAGTACATCCACCGGGTAGGGCGAACTGCTCGGGGCGCCAGTGGCAAAGGAAAAGCCTTGCTCTTCCTGATGCCGGAGGACAGGTTGGATTTCGCTGCGAGCTGTGCTGGCCCGGGGACAATTGTCTTGTGCCCTCCGGTGTTTGAATTGGAAGAACCACCCAAGAAGAACACGTCAACACAAATCACGCAACCTCCTCTCACACGATGACGTCAGACCTCCTGTGCCCATCTACATGCCGACGAGGAAGCCGCAGATGGACGTTGAGTAAAACGGGTGGCGTGTCACGCCGACCATGTGTGCAGTCGCCACGGGGCGTTCGCAAGATTCAATGATTGCGTTCAGTTTCGCAAGCCGGTGTCGCCGTTGCCATGACGCAGCTCTTGTCTTCTTCCAAATCCGCTACTCCGCAGCCAAATCAAGCTATTCGCAACCTGCGATCTCAGCACATTCCTGTGCTTTGCCATTTCTGCACATTTTTCAATGGCTTTTGTTTGGCCTGCGCAAAGCCAGGCGGGAAAGCTGTTGCTTGCATGCAGCGTGTTCCAAACCTGGTGCAGCTACCACACATCTGAAATGTGTGAGAACTTCGACGACCGTTTTTGGAAGCCCGGCAATCAACCCGGAAATCTTGCATGTTAACTGTTACAGTCGATCCACCACACGTCGGTGCGTGGATCTTCGGCCCCACGCACCAATTTTCGGCCCCACGCACCAATGTTTGCACAGCAGGAGCTCGGTTTCCTCCACTACTTGCGGCGAGCTGGTGTGCCAGTTGCAGAGTACAGCTTTCCGCCGAGCAAGATTGTGCTCCCAGCTGCACCGAAGCATGTGCACAGGCGAATCGCCCCCGTTTTCTACTTTGCATTCTCCCTCCTATTGCACTTTTCTCGTCTTTCGCCTCTAAGGCCAATATCCAGTCGCAGCTAGAGAAGCCTGGCTGCGTGCGTGTGTGCGTGAGAAAGAGGTGGGCAGATTTGATTTGACCAACTGGCACAGGACGTGGCCTTTAAAGGAAACAATGAGAGGTTGAACGGTTGAACAAGCAGCAAGTCTCAAGGCTCTAGAAGTGTTGTGCTGCTTTCACTCCGTTTTTGGAGGCACTTAATTGGAGAGCAAGACACCTTGGCCCAAGGAGAGTCATCGAGAAGAACTACCATTTGCACAGAAGCTCCAGAGATGCCTACAGGTCCTATATGCACGCGTACGCGGCTCACAGCCACAAAGATTGCTTTGACGTGCACAAGCTGGACCTGGCCAAAGTTGCCAAGGCTTTCGGGTTTGCCCACCCTCCGAAGGTGGATCTGAACCTGAAGCACACGGCCAGAAAGAAGCCAACTGGAACCAAAGGCACCTTGAAGAAACAGCTTTCTGGCAAGTCGTCTGGACACCAGTTCTCGGCTGACAATCCCTACGGGAAGCGTGATGCCAGCGACACGCGCCAATTCAGCCGTTGAGGGCGCGCATCCGGCAACGCTAATGAAACTCCTCGCTCCAGAGACCCCAAATAGGTCACTTGATTTGCGTTGGGTAGGTTAAGCAAAAGCACGCTAGTGACCATTGCACCTAGCTGTTTGGAGCAGCGGGCGCTTGGAGTAGAGCGGCCGCTTTGCTTGATTGCTTTGGGAAGCGCTGGGTTTGCTGGTGGTTTACTTGTGGTTTGGCTATTGGCCATCAGCCAGAAGCTTAGCACAGTGCATTTGATGCAACCAGGGATTCCCCAAGCGCGGTCCAAAGACGGCGTGGTAGCGGTGACATTGGAGCATGCAACTCAGCCTCCAAGCCTGCGCTCCGCTCGACGCCTCAATAATGCACCGGGCGGAGTGCCTCATGTAGACTCGACGGCTTGCCAAAGGCAAAGTGCAGACGCAAGACGCATTGGAAACAGCGGGGCCGTGGCACCTGTTCCAGTGTCCGCGCAGAGCTCCACAGAGATCCAGAGAGCTCTTTTCAGGTGTGCGTGTGTATCACTTGCGGCCACTGCTCAACCTCTCATTGTTTTTGCCTGCAAATTTGCCGAGGCAGGATGAGTGGCACCGACGAAAGTCCAGTCGGATACCAGAGAGAGGCATGGCCCTTGGTGAATGCTCATGTCATCGCCTGTGAGAGAGAATGGCAGGGACCCTATGTTGTGTCTGCCACATCTTTGCCTTTTCGCATGAATTTCATCCAGTTCTGATGGGCAACTCTGTCTGGCCAGTCAGCTGTTGGCAAAACCCCTAGGCGATAGTCGGCCAGCGCGGCGGGTAGGCCGGACATTTGTTGTCCATGTCGAGTCAAGATGAATCAAGGTAGCTGATGCCTCGAAGCTACGTTACCAGTTATACACATCACATGAACATCTAACTCAAAAATTTGCACTTGGGTACAATTTGAGGGGCAGCAACAATATATGTACACACATGTATATCAAAACGTAAATAGCTAGTAAATAGGCAAAAAGGGCATTGAACTCGCTCCGTTGGTCTGGGTCAGCTCTCTCCTCGGCCGCCAGTCCGAGCTCCAGAGCAACGGCCAGCAAGGTGGCAGCGACCTCGCGAAGGTTCTCGAAGTCGTTCTCGGAGTGCGCAGGACCCTGTACGGGTTTGCTTGTTTTTGCTCTGTCTCAGCGGGTCAAGCATGTCATTGTAGTTTGCTTGTGGCTCATCGCGCATGACTTCCGGCCTTGAAGGATGGACGCGGGGGATACGGGTACGGCTATGGCCACAGCCGGCAAGGCGCCAGTAACTGAAGTGCCCAAAGTCTCCGATTTGGAGCCGCCAGGCGCACGGCCGGCCCCAGCCTCCCCACCGAAGGCTCGGAGCTCCGCTCGACCACCTGACTGGTCTCGGCCGAGAGGCGGACGTGGCCAAGCAGCGACGGAAGGCGCCCCAACCTCCGGCAAGGCGCCCCTTGGCAGTGAAACTGGGCTGAAGTGGCATGCACTTCGGTTGGGTCTCCCATCCGTGACTTCGACAGCTCAACGCAAAGGGGAATTCCAAATTTGACGTTTGGCGACCAGAGTGGCCAGCCACGCTCACGAAGTTTCGCCAGCCTTCACCAAATGTGAAAGCCAAGGCGCGGCTCGGGGCCTCGAGGCTCGGGATCTGCAACCTCAGGGCCGCACCAGGCGAGGTGCAAGCAAACATGCGAGCACACTTGCGTCGGCCTGCCAAACAAACACGCACACACCCAAACCACATACCCACGCACACAAACTTACAACCCCCACCACACACACACACACATACACAACAAACGCAAGAACAAGCAGGCCACACCGTCGCGAGGCGCCTGCCACGAATCAAGCTGCCTGTCTTCTCAATTCGTTGCGCTGGCCAACGAATTCTGGTAGCACAAAACTGTTAAAACATGATTTCAACGAACTGGTTCGTTTTAGATGGGTTTGTGTGGCGGCAGCGAAAAAAGTCAACACCAATCAATAAAGGTTCAAGTGCGGGTTGGAACAACATCCTATTCAGTTAAGGTTCAAGTGTGGGTTGTGACAACATCAATCAGTAAAGGTTCAAGCGTGAATGCGCGCGAGTATTATCACTTGTGCCAGCATGCGTGCAGCGGCTGTGGATGCGTGTGATCGTTTGTATTATCACTTGTGCCAGTAAAAACAATGGCACACACATAGTCAACGCACCAACAACCGAACAAACTAACAACACAAGCAAACAAGTGAAACAAACACGTGAACAGAGCAACAAGCAAGCAAACGACCCAGCGAGCAGGCCAGCAAGCACACAGGCAAGCAGGCAACATGCACGCACAGAAGCGCGCAAGCGAGTGAGAGAGCGAGCAAACAAGCGAGCAAGCGAGCGAGCAAGCAAGCACGCAAACACACAAACAAAAATTTGGACGGACGGACGGACGGACAGACGGCAGACAGGCAGGCAGGCAGGCACCAACCAAGAAAGCAAACAATTATAGCAAACACCCATAGCAAGCAAGCAAGCAACCAAGCAAGCAAACAAACACAAACAAAGACAAACAAAGACAAACAAAGACAAACAAAGACAAACAAAGAAACAAAAAAAACACAAAAAAGAGAAACAAAGAAACAGAGAAACAAAGAAACAAACAAACCACGCTTGCATGCATGTATGGCTGCATGACTGCCATGATATTTTTGAGATTGCTAGATTGCTGGCGCTTTTTCGAGATTGTGGACGCAGGGGCGTCCTGCCCAGGCAACCCCGAGATGGGGACCAAAAGACAGAGCATGACCCGTACCAGCTGCCCCTCAGACGCATTGGCAGAGCCGCAGAGTCACAACGATTGAAGCTGAGAAGGTTGACCAACGAAATTGGCGCCCAATCTTCAGTACTTGCTTCCCGTTTGCCGCCACAAACCATGTCACGAGGCCATGACTTTTTACCCTCTTGCTTCTAAACCACTTCGCCACGTCATGGTGTGCACCATGTGGCCTATTGCTCCAAGTGGCTCGGTTGTTTGTGTACGAAAGGTCCTGAATTTTAACCACGCTTCGCAATCAAAATGCATTCCAATGTGAAAGCTGATGCTGCTTGAGTTCCAATTTACGCTTCGTGTGTGTTTGGGATTCACTTCCTTGAATTCGCTTCATTGGATGGTCTCAGGCTTGGACCGGCAACCTGCTTTCTTTATGACTCATGAGTACTTGAGCTGTTCATGTCTGAGAGCGCGTCTCGCAGAATGGTGTTTCACAATCGAACATTTCAAGTTTACATGCATGCGAAGGTCGCTTCACGTTTAGGTTGCCTGGGCCTGGGCTGGGACATCTAGATTGGGAGCAGAAACTGAATGAGACCTTCCACCGGATGTCGCAACTTGCGCCCTCGTCCTGGCTTGCCGAAGGATTGATCCCAGCGAGCACGTGCCGCCCCAGGTGGGAACCGCACGAGCAAGCCGTGTGAGACGGGGGCATGGCTGGGGGTATCGAATATCGGTTCTTGATGGCTCAGTGATGTTTTGAAATATTGTTTGGCATGCCAATGGATGGTGCTAATGGATTTGATGAATGCGATAAAATCTTTTGGACAGTCCCAAGTATCATACGGCATGCTTTGAAGGTTCCTTCCTCACAAATTGGAAAATTGTGCAGAACACGCGGCAGATGACAGAATTCGGGCGGCCAGAGGTGTGCCGTGGCTCAAGCTTACCTGCATGAAGTGGCATCTGAAAGCCACAGGCAAGGACTACGTTGCCCCGAGATTTGTGCTTTTCAACCTGGACATCAGCAACAGAGAAACAGTGAAGGTGACCTTGCAGGGAAAACGTTCAACCAGTGCACAGCTCTCGTTCTTGCATGTTCTTGCGCTGTCATGTCCACCGAAGCCAAGTCTGTTTTATGTATCATCGGGTTCTAGATAACTGGCACCCAAGTCCAAGATTCCAGTCAGCACAAGCTGCCCAACATAGCAAACAAAGGTTCCCCCCCAAACCTCCAGGCACAACAGCAAGAAGCATGACTGCGGCTCAACTGACCCAAAGACGCATCCGTTGGACCAGTCCCTTTTCTGCAGCCTGTGGCAGGCACCATACACTCGTTTTCCACGGTGCCCAAGCCCAGCACATCCGTGGCTCGGTTTCTCGGCTTCGCCATGGACGCGGGTGGCTTCCAGCTGCGGCTCCGGGTCTTCGCGGCCCGCGCGGGCGGCCCCAGCCTCGGGGTCGGCTGGGCTCCGCGGCCGCGCCTGGAGATCGCGCTTGGACCGGGGTCGCCCGAGACGGGCGAAACGGCGCCGCGTTTTTCGTCTTGACGTTTTTCGCTTTGATCTTGCTTGTTCTGTGAGGTCCTCAGGTCTGCCGCCTTGGTGATTTGGAGTAATTACTTTGGCGCGCGTGTTTTGCTTTGCCTCGCTTGGGTGTTGACAGCGTTTGGCGTTGCATTTTTTCTGTGTGTAAGGGCAGATCCAGATACTGCACGTGAAAGAGCCACAGGCTGGCATTGATTTGTGCACTTTGGCCACTTCATTTGAAGTGAAGCAGCTTGAGTTGTCCTGCATTGGGATGGATACAGTTGTGATCTCTTCACGGGATCAGCTTCAGTATTTGTTTTCTTTCCAGCCAAAGTTGTGTTTTGGAGTCCTCTTTGGCTCTGGGCTTTATGTTGGATGAGGCAAATATGGGTGTGTTCACGGTGCTCAGCACGTTCTCACTTAGCAGGAGGGCCAAGAACATAGACACCTGCCAGCCCAACCAACTTCCCCGCCAGGAGAGGTGCATGAAGAGACTGAGCCAGCGAGCTGGGACGATGCTGCGAGTGTTGGGAAAGAGTCGGATTCTATCCCCAATGGGCGCGAGTGCCCATGGCGATTCAACGACGAGCTGGTCCTCACGAGCTCAGTGGAGGAGGTGCATGCACAGCCGAGCTTGACGTTTCGCCTGCGGGTCCAAAGTGACATCTCGCTGGGCCTGATGACGGTAAAGTTCCCTGGCGACGTGGCTGGCGTGGCGACGGCTGACTTGCTGCGGCACGTGCTTCCCATTTGCAACCCGGTCCAGTCGCACGACTGGTTCCGTTGGGCCAGCTCAGTTCAAATGGTATCTCTCAAGGACGGCCACGGGCAGGAAGTTGGCCAGGCAGGGCGGCACGAGAGTGTGAAAATAGACTCCTTTTTATAGCATTTGTTCAGTGTGGGAAGGTCATGGAGTCTTGCATGGCCAAGAGCCTGAGACCTCCAAATAATTGGTTTTTGGGTTTTTTTGGGGACAGTACAGCACTTTTGGCTCTTCAAAGCAAACAAATAGGGACAGTACAGGTCTCAGGCTCTTTGCCATGCAACGTGTAAGGACAATTCTATTGGAAAAGGAATTCCCGTGTAACATTTACGTTGAACTAGATTAATCATAATGTACAATATAATTTAACATATACAATTTAATTGGAGTCTTTCCTTAATAATTTCTAGTTAATTTCAGTCAGACATTGGGTAGAACTTGGCAAAGATATTAAGTAGACTTCAGAAGGAGAGAATTCAGAGGTCAGAAATTGTATTTCTTGTGTGTACTAGCCCCAGAACTACCATGGTCAGAAAACACCGTAAAACAGAGTGTTTTGTAGCCTTTTTAGTACTCTCAGGCAGTCAGACCGTTTACATCATGCATCCAAACCATTGTTGGCATGTCCCAGCGCACGGCCAGGTGGCCGTGTCCTTTGCCGTGGATGCCAATCCCCAGGAGCTGCTCGGCGTGACCGCTGCAAAGACCCGTGCCATTCGACCGCCTGACAGCTGGTGGCTTTGCTGCTCCCGGCGCTGCGAGTGTGACCGCGAGGAGGAGGCAGGGCAAACATTGCTTAGTGGTCGAAACACAATCGTCAAGAATCCCACGGAAGACTTTGGGCAGTAGTCCATTTGGAACTTGAAGGGGGTGCTCAGAAAGCCGTGCCCTTTTTGCGCCGAGAGGACCGCGACCGCGACGCCTCGCTGCCTACGCTGCTGCGCCTAGAGCCGCCCTCACTGCCGCCACCAGAGCAGGCGCCAGATGGGTGGATCAGCCGGCGGGGCCCTGGGGGCCGCGTCTTTTGGCACCACAAGGCCCTGGGCCCCGCGCCCTGGGAAGACGTGCCTGGCAGCCTGAAGAACAACCGGGCCTTCTTCCGGTCCATCATGGGGAAGGTTGCCGACCTGTCCGATGTGCCGCCCAGCACGGACTCCTTGCGCTGAGGGCAGCAGAGCTTTTAGACAAATTCGTCCGCGAACCAGCCAGGTCTCACCCTCCAAACTTCACGTGATGCCGGAGCTCAGCCACGCGCCAGTGGGTTGCCTCTGATTCACCAGGGGCAGGCTTCAGTGACCACGTTGCATGCTGCCATGCAGGCTGGCCTGCACGCCCCAACCTACACATTTTGAACGCCCAACCAGCAAACTGATCTGGCCACGGGCACGAGGCAAAGTAGAGGCGAGGCAAAATGATCCGACCCAAATCTGGCGTGCCGTTTCGTGCAAGTCTGAAACCTTCCTGCCTTGGCCCTGAACGATTGGCAACGGATGTTCCCGTTGGCACATTTGTGGTTTCACTTGCCCGACCAAGTCCGGCCCGAAGGTGATCGTTCCGGAGATCGAGCGCTATGAGCCTGAGGAGGAGCCTCCACAGGCCGGTGCTGACAGGGGGGCGGCTAGGCCTTGTTGGCAGGTAATGTCAAGGCTGCCTGCATGGGTCTGCGAGACACCGGCCTACGGCAGGCACATCAGGAGCGCGGCGGCCGGCGCAGCCTCAGCCGCGGTCGCTTTCCGGTGCCCCGGGCGGGATTTCGTGTCGTTTGCAGGTGAGCTCGCCCAACCGCAGTTTCCCTGCATGTTCTTTAAAGGGCGCCTGGAATCCTGGAACTGGTAGGACCCAGTCCTGCAAATCAGAAGCCGCAGCAGCAGCTACGGCAGCTACTACAGCTACAGCCCGGGCCTCAGCTTTTTTCTGCTTCCAGCCGCATGCGGTCACGCTGCAGGCTACTCTAGCTGGTCCAGATCAAGCAGCTTGTCGCCCAAGCCTCATCGTTCTGGGGGGGGGGTCCAGATTGAGGATGGCGCCATGCATCAGGCGAAAGCATGACCAACACACCAGAAGTCCATCAAGAGGCTGGCGGACCACTTGTGCAAACGTGTGAGTTGTTGAGGTCTTCGGACGGTGTGCTTGCTGCGGCTTGGGTTGCCGTCCATCGCTTACCTGTCAGGACGGCAAAGTCGCCCCCCTGGTGTTCCTGTGGCGGGCATCTAAGACCTGTGAGGTGAAACGCAGCTAGATTGGACTTGGTTGGTACCAGCAATTCTCCGGCGCGAAGACTCGGAAGAGGAATGGAAATGAGTCTGTGGGTCGGAGGGGGAGGGCATCTTTCCAAACCGCCCCACCAACACCTAGAAGGCTCAAGCCAACAAGTGCCTTTGAAAGAAGCCAGCATCTTCAAGCATTTGTTGTGAGGTCTTCAGTCAGACTGAGACAGCTCGCACTAGTGCAGAATGGGCAACATCCGGTTGGGTCGGGGTGAAGGCTTCATATTCATTTTTTGCTTCCTGTTTTTTCGCCAATCTGGAGGCATTTGGAAGTTCTTGCCACACACGATGTTGGGTCAGGCCGATGCGCCGCCAGAGCCGCCGCCCGGCAGTTGGTCGCCAGAGGCAGGGAAGCGCAAGCCACAGGACCTGCTTTCAGATGCAAAGGGCTCCCCAAACACAGGATTTGTTCAGAGTTCAGAGTTGAATGGAGCGTGCCTTGAATTCAATGACAGACGCCACCAGTGCCAGGTACCAACCGTGCCGTCGAGCATCCCCGCGGCGCGTCACTGCCACAGAACTTTCAGCATGAGGGTTTGAGGAGAGATGAGGATTGTTGAGGGGCCAGGCGCTTGAGCATTTCTGTTCCTGATTTTGGCTGTTTCCAGCCTGAACATGACTTTGAGAGTTGATGCGCTTCGCTCGCCGTGCTCATGTTTCCTAGGCGAGCCGCCGCCGCCGCCGCCCGGCGCGCCCCCATCGCACGGCGCGCTCCCCGTGGCCTGCGGCGTGTTCAGTGGGAGTGGCAAGCCCCGAGGCCCAGCGCCTTCGCAGTACTCAGCAGGCGCGTGGCGGCTAGGCGATGTCTCCCATGCCCCGATGGGAGCTTGCGGAAGCGGATTTGATGCCGCTTTCGACTTGGTCAGGCCCTCCTGGACCTGGAGCCTGGGACTGGGCTGTAGCCAATGCTTGCAGGGTTCGAGCGCTCTATGGGTTGCTGTGAGCCATGCGACCTTGAGACTCTCCAACTCGTACGGCTGGCTCAGTGCCAGATATGAGGTTTGCTATTTCCTTTGCGACGTTTGGCAGGACTATCGAGGGAGACATCCTGGGCACTATCCGTCACACACTCCTCCCGGCACTTCGGCACTTTGCTCAAGAACGTGTGGCAGTGCGTTGCATGTTTACTTGATGTCAATGCGTGAAATTACTGTGTGCTGCTGCATGAGTTTTGCACTGAGGGGCATTTTCAGCCGCCCCACTACTATGGCAGGGGCCCTGAAGCTCTGAATCAGCATGTGGCGGCTGCAGGCTGTAGCAAGTTACGATGCCGATTCCAGGTGCCTATCCGCCAGTCTTGGCCTTGGCATCGGAATCTTTGAGGTTGCCACTGGTTGCTCTTGATGGAGCTGTGCGCGGGGTTGAGGCCACAACTCCCTGAGGCGCAATACCCGGGACATCCACCGAGCTATCCACCGCCTGGGTACGCTGCGAAATTGGAAGGTTCTGGCAGCTTGAGATGTTTTGAATCAGCCTTTGACAGCCCTTCATTTTGCACCTCATTGCAAGACGCGATGAGGCTGTTGCAGGGAGTGGCTCAAGCAGTTTTCAGGTCAACGGTGCGTGTGGCAGCAAGAAATAACCAATGTGCAAACAAAAACCAAGCAGTTATTTTTTCACTTGCAGCCCTGCCAACAAGTCGCAGCACAGCAGCTCAGCAAGCCTTTTTCGCTTTGCACTGTGAGTCCCTACCATGGGTGATGGCGAGCAAAGAGCCGAGCACGAGCTTGCGCTCCCGGTCCCGGTCGGGGGGTTTGGGCAAGGCCAACGTGGCGGGCCGCACGCTGCGCGCGAAGATCGGGGGCCGCGTGGCGGCCCTGGCGCTGCCGGCGCCTGAGGCCCAGCGCCTCGAGCGCTGCGTGGCCGCGGCGCCCGCGGAGCTGCGGCGCCAGCAGGCGCCGCCCAGGGAGGCGCTGCGCCTGGAGCACGCCTACGGCTTCGGTTCCGGCACCTCCTTTGGGTTCTTGGCCGGCACCGGGGGCCCGGACTCCAAGAACTTCTGCTACAACGTGGCGGGGGTGGGGGTGATTTGGGATGAGGAGCTCAAGGAGCAGCGCTTTCAAACGCACAGCTCCCAGATCACAGCCATGGCATTCAGCAGCAGTGCGAGGCTGGTGGCCACGGGTCAGAAGGTTGTGGGCACAACCGCTCCAGTTTTATTGTGGTCAGTGGATGAACGACCGCTCGGTGAAGGAGTGCAACTCATGGGTCACACCCACACCTTGCACTCCTTGGCCTTCTCCGCAGACGGCAGATGGCTTTTCTCCTTGGAGTCATCTAGGGGTTCTCGCGAGTTGAAGACGGCCAGCTCGCCTTTGCATGCGTGGCGCCTGGACGACGTGCTCAAAGGCGGGCGGCAGGCTCGGCCTGCAGTGAGCCTACCAGTGAAGGAGACTTTTCACATTGTCACACATCCCAGCAACAGCAATCGATTGATGGGATATGGTGTGCGTTCCGTGTACTTCGTGACCTGCCGTTGGGCTGCCAAAGATGCAGCAACTGCGGAATGGCAGAGCCCAGCTCCGCCATCCGACTGTGCAGGTTTATCTTTCTATGGCTTCAGTGCAGGCCCGGTGTCGAGAGAGCGAGGGAGCGAGCCACATGCGCAGACAGCTCTTTAAACTTTCTTTGGCTTGACCCTTTCGCAGCACACCTGCATGAGCAAGGTCATGAAGGATTCCAAGCCTTTGATCCCTGAAGGAAGCTTTGTTGGCACAGACGACCTCGCAGCTGTTGCGGTGAACTGGGGGGTGTTTGTCATCAACGCCTCCGCTGATGGTCCTTTCTGCATCCGGGCGCTAGCTCTGGACAACCCAGAGGCTCAGGGGTGTCTCTTTTTCCCATGTCCTACTGGCAAGCTTGCGTTGGTGAGCGCATTCCACATCTTTCCACCCCTGCAGGTGCACTTTCTGGTGCCCTTGTGTTCAGGCCAGGTGGTTTGTGGAGGCTCCGGAGCCCTGCTGTCGCTGCTGGGCCCTGACATGGCGTCAGCGAGGCCCGTGAAGATCATGGGCGTCGATGCTGATCTCTTGGCTGCGGCCGCCTTGGGCGAGGGAGTCCTCATGGCTGGGACGAGGAGTGGACCAGGGGCCGTTTTGTTGAGAAAAATGTGTGGCACTCAGTGGGCCTAGTGGCTAGCGGGATCCAATGGGCCGAGTGTTGCTGTGTTTGCTTCAATGTTTCAAGGAGCAATTCGGGCCGTACGAGTTGTTTGGGCTTAAAAGGGGCGAGCTTCGGGATTTCGATGATGTCAATGCCCTGAGAACGGGGGCGCTATGCCGGATCCAGCTGGACGAGGACGAGCTGTGCGACCAATGCTCTGGGGAGCTCCTGGAGCAGTCGCCGTCGGGCAGGGCCAAGGTCCAAGCGCTGGCGGCGAACCCCTCCAGCCAGAGCCCGCAGCTGGCTGTGGCTGCAGGGGGTGAGGTGTTGATCTACGACCTCGCCGCGTGTTGTTTGCAGGCGTCAACAGCTGTGCCGTCTCGGGGCACGGTGACCGCCATGGCGTGGCACCCAAAGGGCTTTCTGGCGCTGGGGGTGGATCTGGGGGCCTTGTACTGCCTGCCAGTGGCTGGGGATCAGCTCTCGGAGCTGCAGCCGGCGGAGGTTTTGAGCGACGCCACGGAGGTCACCGCGCTGCAGTTTGCGCCGCAGGGCCAATGGCTGGCCGTAGGCTTCCGGGACGGCAGGGTGCAAATCATGGCGGTGAGCCATAGCGATGGGACTGGTGCTAAGTTGTCGCACTTCCGGCAGCTCGTGGGGAACGCCAGCGCGGTGCTCGGCTTGCAGTTTGCCAAGGCAGGGCCTGGATTTTGGGTGTGTCATGTTGTAGGGGGCACCCCCAAAACGATGGATTCTCCGGGTGGTTTCCCTTTACGCGACCCTCAAAAAGCGACCGACCCATTTAGGATAGTGCTGAAGTGCGGCTTTGTACTATCGGTAGACATTCAGGATGGCTCGGCCTTGGGCAGCAATGCGCGCGACCTGGCTGCATTTGCTTTTGGCCCAGGAGTGCCACAAGCGTGGAACCACTGAAGGCATGGGAGCATGACTGGCATGACTTCGCATTGCTCCGGCGTCTAAGGAGACGGGGCCGTGCTGTGCTGGGAGGTCGAGACCGGCAAAGTCACCCCTTGCAACTTCCCCGGCGAGGTTTGGTTTGAGCATCCCTTCAGGCTCCCGCCCCAGCTTTGTTTGTTTATCCCCAGTTGTGTGATGCTCCGTTTTGATTTGCGGTTGGGTGAGTGAAAGGGGCTGGCAGTGTTGAAGCCACGGCCAGGTTGTCCATATCCTGGCCAATGTGGGGTATTTGGAACAAAGACAGCTGCTTGGTGGCAGAAATCTCCGTCAGAAGGCCCCTTGAGTCTTCTTGGCGATATCGTGACTTGTTTCCCTCAAAGATGCATTCGAGCCATGCTGGACACCACTCAGGTTATCGCGCCAGCACCGCTCTCTGCGCTGAGTCCAATGGCTCCAAGCTCGGAGTAGGGGACGAGGACGGCCTGGTGAGGCTGCACAGGCGGGATGCGGCGGAATGCAGCGGAGAGCGCACCTTTGCGCGCTAGGTTTCCAGTGGGCGTGCCTGATGCTCAGGGAAAGGAGAGCTCGGGGCCGTTCTCCGACTTGGCTTGCGCTTCATGTCACTTGCGCCTTAGCACTCTTGCTTGTCTCACGTGAAGGAGTACTTCGGCCATGTCTCCCGGATTGCGGATCTCACTTGGGCAGGGCCTGATCTCTTAGTCACTGCTGGGGCTGCGTCGTGCCTTGGATGCGTGCTTGCGAATTATTTTGCCCATGCGTGTGCGGCAAGCTGCTGTGCATGCCGACAATACTTGGCAACAAAGGACGGCTGCAAGTAATGAGTGAGATATTTTGGTCATGCTACCGTAGAAAGGTGCCTGTGCAGAGGGGTTTGTTCTTCTTGCTGTTGGCCCCTTTTTCATGTCGCCCACAAGCTCTGATTATCCAGGGGTCCCCTTCAAAGGAAACTGGTCTTCCAGGACCCCCCTGTCAGCTTCCATGCTAATTGGTGGGAGGGTAGGGTCTATTTTGTTTGGTTTAGGTCTTTTGGAGGGCTTAGGGTTTTTAGGGTTTAAGGTTAAAGGCTTTGGGCCTTGGGGTTTGTATGGTTGGAGTTGTTTGGTTCATGGTTTAGTCTAGTTTGTTTGGTCAGCGTTGAGTTTAGGGCCTTTTAGGGTTTAGGGTTCAGGGGTTCTAGGGCTCTGGTTTTCAGGGTTCACAGTGTAGGGTGATGCTTGTCGCATCGAATCTGGCTCTTGCTTCCGCCAGACTCTTGACAGCTGTGAATTGTCAACGCTGGGTAGGCAAAGAGCTTGGGCAGGCCCGTTTTCGCTGTGTGTGCCACGATTTTTAAATGTTCCCAAGGCTCGCTCGAGGACGGTCGCATACGGTTTGACCGCATTCTTCATAGTATTATTTTTTATAATATCCCACGTGTGGGTCCACAAAAGCTCCATCTAAACTGTTTCCTAGGAGTGACTCCTCAACTTGCACGTTTTTCAGGTGTGCCATGCTGCAGTGGCGTGTCGTTGCTGGTCAGCGACGTGTGGAGGCTGAAGCAGCTTCTTTCCTGCAAGAGGAGGAAGCGCCGAATCCATGTTGATGGGATTCTTTAATAAGTTGTGCGCAGGCACGAAGGCAGACGTACGTGCACTTTGAAATCATTTTGGTCCCGAGCCAAAGAAGGCCTCGTGTTGTGTGGGTATGCCCCACAAGCCGTGTTTGTACTCAGTTCCATTCTTGCCCAGAACCAGATCTCCAGAGTTGATTTCCAGGAAGGGTCCCACATGCAATTGCAGCGCCTGAGCCTATTTTCAACAAACGCATCCTTACATTTTACATGCCATGGACATGTTGTCATGGATTGCAATGCTGATTCTGTTGCCGCTCAGCTGGTGGACGTCGCAAACATGAGCAGTGCTCCATTCGCCCCTGTTGATTTGGCAGCATCCTATGTGGTGCTTGCTGCAATCTCGCTGGGTTTTGATGCTTGCTTGGAAGCTGGGGCCTCCGAGGCTGACGGAGATGTGGAGGGCTGTCCTCCAGTGTTGCCCACTGCTTCCCTTGGAGCGGCTTGGATACAACATAAGTTTGCACGTTTGTTCCAAAAGTGGGACCTTTTGGATGCAACCCCCCCAAATTCCCACAAAGTGAGCCTTGGACCAAGAGTCTGGAGAACCACATGGGCTTGGAATAGCTTGGGGGCCTAGAAGCTTAAGGGCTGTTCAAAGAAAGAGACCATCCCCCCAAGGAAGCGGTGAAAAGGCAGGTCTTTGCGATCCCCACTGAGCCCATAGGGCCCGCGAAGGCTTTTTTTTTCCTCCCTCCTTTGGCATGCAATTCGGAGGAAGACGGCGATTCCAGGCTCCTGAGACGGTCGTGGAGTAAAAGCGCGCAGGAGAGCGCCAGAACTCCCCGGAGCCTGCGGAACTCCGCCAAGTCGGGCAGCGATAAGAACTCCAGAGAGCCTTGCCTGGACCAGGCGGTTGACCCAGCGCATAGTCAATATACCATCAGATAGCATTGAAGAATCTCACAGTGGAACAGCTACGCCAAAATAAAGATGCATATCTCGCCCATTTCCTCACGCTTGTTTTGTCTTGTTAGTTGTTTGAGGCCTTGCTGGCCTTTCCCAGCCTCATCACGCAAGCTTCGTCGTTTGGATTTCGTGTTTTTTTCTTCTTTTTGTTTCTTCCCTCGCTTCCCACTACTTTTTCATTGAAATGCTCGGGTCGCATTTTTCCGCTAGCAGCGCTTGGGAGACGTGCCTCTTCCAAAAGACTTGGCTATTTGGCATGTGTGGGGTGGTTAATCAGGCGCTCGATGCTTTGGTCGTTCAGTTTGTGAGGCATCCACTGGCACGGCCCGGGGCACGTCGCCATCTGCGCGGGGAGGCGCCACACCAGGCTAGGGTTGCGAGTGTGTGGATGTCTGCAAGAGGCCCGTGCCCTTTCTCCAGGTTCATCTCGCTTCGCCTCGTCTGGAAGGCAAGGAAGCCAGGCCCTTACCAGCCGTTCTATCGGGGTGTGGTTTCTCAGAAGGATTGCTGATTTGATCCAGGCGGGAGCCCGATGCGGCAACGCTCCAAGTCAAGATCCAGAGGTTTCAACAACTCGCTGGGCCCAGTGCTGAGTTTGGAGATCCAGTCATGGCCCTTCAAGCCGCAAGAGCCTTTGAGGCCTTGCCGGGGATGCTAGTTCAGCACCATCTCCAGTACCCTCCCCAGCACCTTGGCATTCTAAGATTTCCCTTCCACATCCAGGAAGTCCTCAGGAGTAGAGAAGAAGCAAACCCAACTTGCATGCAAAACGAGGCCGGCATCAATTCAACTCAGCCTCCTTTTGTGCAGCATAATGACCTGCCCGGATCAAATCAACATGTAGCTTCACCCCTGAAACAAAGCGACGCTTTTTTCAGCAGCACCGTCAGAGTCCTGGCGTATCTCCGTGGCAAGCTCGGGGTGAACACCAGCTCACTCCGGGCCGCGGGCCGCAGGAGGCGCCCAAGGAGCCGGAGAAGCCACGGGCCCAATTCAGCGACGCAGCGGTGCAGACGGACTCGGTGCTCGCAGCACGTGTGGCTTGGGCACCTTGGCTGCTGCCTTTGACGGCGACCCTTTGACGGCGACATACGGCGACCCTTGGACTTTTCGTTAGCTCACGAAACGCTCAACTTGGGAAGGCACCATGCTGGTCAAATCTGTCAAAGTGGCGCAAGACGCGACAGTGGCATGAAGCGCTTGACAGTCTTTGCCCGGAATGTGCACTCGGTCCTTTTGCTTGGCATAAACATCAGCCTCAGGTTGCCGTGGCCCCAGCCCCAGCCACAAGCTACGCCGGGCGCTTCGTCGCCGTCAGCCCGGAGCGAGACCCGACGGCACTTGGGGCTATCTCTGGTTGGTTTGCCAGTTTGCCAGCACTTCCCTAATAAAACCCAGCCAAACAGGGAGCCCCGGACCTCATGTTGCGCCTTTCGACTCTGTTCTCGGCAAGTTGTTTGTTTGTAATGGGACGACGCTGGTGCAGACGGAGGCAGCAGATTTTGAGTGCTGATATCTAGGCGAAGGCTCCAACTTTCCTGCAGTCGTTGGACAGCTGCCGGCCAATACGCGATGGCAGGCGGGCCGTTGCACCCCAGGAGCTTCTGAGTCTCCTTGCTTCAGGTTTGCTCCCGTCATACATCGCCAGTGCGCGTCCTGTCGCCTCAAAGGCGGGAATCTGCGAGCTGGATGGTAGATCACGTGCTAAGAAAGACCAATGTTCAGCGCCTGGTGTGTGCCAGCCGTCTCGAAGGGTCTAGCGCAAAAGGAACCACCTGAAAGGCCGGCAATTGGAGCAAGAAAACGGCCTTACGCATTATGTCACATTAATACACACCAGAAAGTTGCAACACATGCAGCATATCATCACTCTGAGGGTCGCGCAAGGATGGCGAGAAGCCAACGATTTGGTTATTTTCCAGGCACCTGTATTTTGGACGACCCCCAGCAACGTTGCCAAATACTACTTTTTACAAATTCCTGGTGACCTTCGATATCTAGATGGTTGTTTGAGCATGGCCTGCAGGTTGACTTCCGCGCCTGCGATCCTTCCGTTGGATCCTCAAGTGGCGTACTGTGGTAGGGAGCTGCCAAAGTATCCGATCGGAAACCCGTGACTCTGAAAAGCCACGGTAGCCTTTCATGGGCCTAACCCAATCTTATTTGTGAAAAAGTCCATGGTTCGGCCTATTCATCAGGTCTCCTGCAAGTTTGACTCAGCATTTGCTGAGGCCCGGCGATCCGTACATCCCATCCTCTCCAGCTACTGTGAGCCGTGCGCATCTTAGCCAAAAGGTGGAGGTGACGCAGATGGTCTGCTGGCAACAGGCGTGATGCCATCTTTCGCTGCGCATCAGCCAGCTCTTGTGCTTCGGCGGCAGCCAGTGAACGCAGCAGCCTGACACGCTGAACGCCGGCCCAGTGAGCTCAGGCTCCTTCAGTGCTGCGCTTTGTACCGACTCGGTCGTCGAGCCTTGGCGTTTGTTGGGCTTGTTGACTGGGTTGCTATGAGCTGAGCATATTCAGATGCCTTGGTGCAAACCTGGCGCAGCCGCTCAGGAGCCCACTGGCCAGCCCGCGGGTGACTATAGGCCGACAGCCATCGGCAGAGCTGAGAAGCTTGGAGCGTTTTATGTCGGGAGGCCCCGGGAGCTGCTTCAGCTACACGCCATCAGAGGCGCGGCCAGAATCCAAATCCAGTGCTGGCTGATGTTTTCTGCTGCGTAGGGCCAGCCTGGGGGCTCGCCTCGCGCCTGTTTCTTGGAGGGTGGCAGGGGCGTTCGTCAAGGGCAGGTTCCGGGATGTGAGTGTTTTTTTTTTGTTTTCTTTTCTCCCCCCTCTTCTGCATGATCTAAGCAGCCCACCTGAAGCTTCAGTACAAGCCGCGTTGTTGACAACAAAGGCTTGCAACTTTCAACGCCTGCTTGGATTGACGATCCAAGGCCTGAGACTTGCTAGAGCCAATGCCTGACATCGATGCCAAGGACCAATGAAAGCTGCGGATTTAAATTTCTGCAGTCCTGGCTCCAGCGTCGAGTCCGCATGCCTGCTGAATCTAATTCGAAGTGCACCGTTGCCAACGTCATGAATGTCTCGAGGGCCGCGTGGAAAACCGGCCGAGCTCGTTGCAGGTCTTCTGTAATTTGCTGCATGACTCAGAAATGCCTTCGAGACGGCCGTGTCCAGTTGTAGGTACGCCCCACCGTCCATGTATCCGCCCGAGATCGGATATGGGAAGCTGGAGGCCAGGGTTGACGGGCACAGGGTGCCGCTGGAAACGAATCGCACAGTTCATGTCACTCGTTGTGTATGCGAAGCGCAGATGTCACTCGGTCTCTTTGGGCCGAAGCGTCAACCCCAATTTGTATTGGGCGTTGGACACGCTGAAGTGCCACGCAGTGGGCTGCCGCAATGCAGGCCCCCAGAGCTGCCGGTGTGCGGCGCGGGCGCCGGCGAGGCCGGGGAGCGTAGGATTCGGGGCTTGCGCATGTAGAGGCAGCTCTCTGTGCTTTTTTTTTTTTTTTCGGCCCGCTTTGGTCAGGGGTTTTTCTATATTTCCCATTTTGGCGATTTTACACATCCCCTTTTTGGCTCATAAAAGGTGAGTCTCCCTTGGTGGGGGTGATGTTTTAAGGGGAAATAAAGGGAGCCCTGTTGGCGGCGGGTGTTTCAAGCCGTCCTTCAATAAGCCGCATCACCATCTCCGAGGTTCCCAGAAAAAAAAATAAAACAGAGGTCAAACGGAGAAGTCATGGCTTTGCTACAGCTTGGGCTGAGAACTTGAAGGTTTAAACGTGCTCGTGCAAAGTGGCTGCAACAACTCAGGTGTGCGCCAAGATGACCAGAGGCCCGTGGCTGCATTGTGGCTAGCCTTTCTAACAGCAGAAGCCTCGACGAACCAGTGTGGCATTATCACGGCTGGTGTATGGATGTCCTCACTGCTTGTCTATTGGATATTATCATCAGCCAGCCAGTCTAAGGAACACTGTGATGGCCTTCAACAAACTGTCGTTGATTATGGAGAGGGGTGACCCTCTTTGACCCATATCATTTGCAGCCGTTTCCCGTGGATCTGTCTGTCACCTAGCAGCCCAAATGATTATTTCCTTCTTCCCGTCCTCATCTCCAATCTGGACGGGTTATGAGGAAAAATGAAAAGAGATATAGCTTTTCCATGACCACCTCAACAAAAACACTTGGATGAAAATACGTGGTCCAGGGACAGCTGTTATGGAAAGGATTCAAGGTGAGCGAATTCTATAGTCTCACCACATCCTTTTCCTTCTATATTTCCACCTCTATGACTCCCTCAAAACACTTAAGGATTAACTGGTTAGGAGGTGGCACTTGGAAGGTATCCATTGATGAGCTTTTTATGGCCTCTCTTGGTCCATGAAATGTCCACGGCCCAAATTATTGAACGGTTCCTTAGCCTCTTTGAAGCAGAGAGGACTGCTTGGGATCAGGAGTGGCAGTGGGTCTCCGCAGAGGGGCCGGACCAAGAAGAAGTGCCCCAGCTGCGATTGGACGGAGAGATGTCCCGAGCCGGGCCAAGATGCCATGGTCGCAGGACCACCGCTAAGCTGCCTTTTAGACAAGCAGAAGAGTCCCCCCATAGAAAGCCATGATCACTGCACGTTGCCTGCTATGCCTTCCTGAAAGTAAGGAGGAGGAGAAATCGGAAGCCGCACCACTGGCCTGCTTGGGCTCTTTTGGAACAGCAGGTCAGATTTCCTTTTTGCCTCCTTCTCCTTTCTGCCCCGAGCTTCATGCTGTGCCAGGAAGAGTGCCGGCCTCAGGCAAGTCACCGGTCAGGCCCACATGGGTATGGCTCAAAATTAAACCACCAGGAAACCGCAGGTTTTGAGTCTTTGGTTCCATATACCATGGTTCCCAAACCAGCAGCATTGAGCGTAGTACCTTGCTGCCCCCTTCCCGGATTGTGCACAGTTCAACACAGTCTGAAGTTAGATCCGGCGTCCACTGCCCGCAGAAAGAGCTCGACTGGCTCAGGCATGTTTTTAGCAGAGTGTTGCAAGTGGACCTGCCAGCCCGCATATGTTGGATAAGACCCGCCAACTGCCCTTCCCCATGCGGGTGACGTCAACAAAACTGGACGGTGGTAGGTAGCTTTGAGGCCCGGGAGAGCCACCTCCAAAGTGGGGCGAGACCTGGGAGGAGAAGCGTTCGCTTGATCCTTGCTTGCGTGGGCATGGATAGAGGGTGTAAGTAGACTTCGTCTGCACGCATGCTAACTTGCTTTTTCCGTCTACTTGTCGGATCAGTTAAGGCACGGGGCCAGTTGACCATTGCTTTGACTCAGGAGCCTCGTGCGGACAACGGCCTGAAGCTAATCCATGAGGTTGCACCGAAGGCCACATGCCATCAGAAACATCACCCCTTTGGCACCACAGTAAGCTACGGTTGACTCACAATCCCAGCTTACGAAGAGCAAACGGCGCCTGCCAACCTCCACTTTTGACGGAACCATTCTCATGTCCACTCTGAAGCGATGGGATGGCCAGTCTTTCGGATCTAATTTTCCTGGCCTCTTGGCTTTGTCTATGGTTTCGGTTTGTCCAGCCTGACCAGGGCCTGTCGTGGCATCTCGTGCTCCGTGACGAGTCTCGGCGCAGCTATGCCGCGTACATGCCATCGCCGGCCATGGCCCCAGTGGCTTTCGGAAAGCGCAGGGCTGCGCCTCGCCTCGCCGATTTTTTTTGGCGCACTTTGCGCCGCAGAGGTGCCCCAGTCTCGGCTTGCCGCCTTCTTCAATACCATCCGGGACCGAGTCTGGATTTACGGGCGCTTGTTGCCTGGCGACCAAAGAAACAAGCAGACAGCAGTTGGCAAGTTCAACTTTCCACCTGTGGCATGCAACAAGTGGATTGATGGCTTCGACATGCTGACATGAGCTTGAATGTGAGCCAGTCCTGATAGGTGGGGTGCGTGGCGTGGCATGGGTTTGATGGGTTTTGATCGTTTGCATTGGCAGGATGGCACCGATTGGCAGCAGCCCCAGGGGCCGCAAGGCCTCCTCATGCCCCGGAAGACGGCCTGGATGGCCTGGCTGCCTAGAAAGTGCACAGCCAGCACTTGTCCCTTCTGAGACCTTGGCTTGAGGTTTGCATCCGTGCGCGAAAGCGGGTGTGTGCCCTTTTCTTTGAAAGATGGCATCTGGAAAAATGGGTGGGGTATGGCAGGGGTTCCCCTGGGTCCCCAGGTGCATTTGGCACGTTTCAGTGGCGGCAAGAGCTGGGACTCGGCCTGGCAAACAGTGCCAGTCGGTCTGTCCATTCTCAAGTCACCTTAAGGCAAACACAAGTTTGTTTGCCGCTCCTTGCTTTCAAGTCGCGTTTTTGTAGTTGTACCCTGGAAGCTTGCAGCTTCGGCACTTCCTGTGAGGTGAAGCCGGGCTGCCGCTGCCAGTATCGATATGGAGGCTGCTTGGCCAAACTTGGGCAGATGAAGAAAGCGTCTCCAGCTTGAGCACTTTTTTTTGGGGGGGCAACGAAGATAAAGGACGAAGGAGAACATCCACGAAAAACGGAGGTTTGTGGATTCAAAAATTCAATAGGGGGAGCTTAGCCGGAAATGTGATTGGTGCAAAGTGGCAGCGGAGCGGGTTGGCAATCTTTCGATGCCCGCTACTGGCATTTGGAGCTCAGGCGTGATGGTGGAGCCACAGGCACGCATAGATTGCCAACTTCTAGCAGACACATTCGCCGGCATGCATGAATTCCTTTGAAGGGGCAGTGTTTTAATGGAAGGCCCTGCATATGCGCACGTGTGTGTGTGTGTGGCGTGTGTGCGGAGTATGCGCAGTATGTGCATGAACAAACGCCGGCGTGTTTTAAAACGCACTGTTGGCTAATGTTTGATGACGATCCGAGTTTGCAGCTTGTTTCTTACGACAGTCGCTGTTCAGTAGGGAGAGCAGCATATTCGCATTGTTGCGAATCGCAGAGCTACAAACCACCCGGTGGTGTATGGCAGGCTTTTCCCGCGTGGATGACGGACTTGATTCGACGCTTGGCGCAGTTCTTGTCCGTTGCCATGCGTTTGCTTTGCTGCCATTGGCCAGGTCACACGGAAAGCAATACAGAAACAAATGCTAAAGATCATGGCAGGCACATATATGCCTTACTGTGGTAAGACCAGGGAGGAGGATTGGCCAGGTCCCCAGCATTCAGTGCCACTTGCCCCTTGGAAAATTTACGCCAAGGCCGGATAGCTGCAACGTCAATCTCTATGAGGATGGTTCTGACTCGGTGGGCTGGCACTCTGACAATGAGGCAGGTGATGGGTGCAAGCTTGACAGAGTGAGCCAAACAATGTCGAACTGAAGAGGCGCTATTCCAGGGCCTGAACGAAGACGTTGCAATCGTCTCGCTGCCGGAAGCTTGGCCATTTTGTTGTTTGGTTGTCCTGGTAACGGTCGTGTCTTGCAAATGGGCTTTTCCACAGGTCGCTTGGGCAGCCGCGAAAGTTTGATATGCGAAAGAACTGGCCAGAGGAGCAATCGGCAAGCAGTGTTGTGTTGCGGGGTTTGGTTGCATGTTGCTTTTTTGTTTGGCTGCACGCTATGGCCACGCACGCGCCTTGCGAAGCGGTGCCATGCTCCTGCATCATGCTCAGGAGGGAGAGAAAGTCCAGGAAAGCCTGCACCTGGGGAATGGCACCTCGTTCGTAAGAATATATGGCCCTCTTGGCTAGGTTCAATTCTGATTGGCAAAATCCTAACGCGTGCAAGTGTTTGGGCAACACTTGGCTGGCACGTGGAACCAGTCCGTCAGTAGACAATGCCAAGAGAATGAACGTTCATTGGATTTTTCATCCTGTTGGCCTTTGATTTCTGTCTCAGGTGCTTTGGCAACCATGGAGGCGCCGCTGTAGGTTCTCATTTCGGGATGAGATTTGGACCACAACATCTCAGTGCCCAACTTGATTCCTTCATTTTTCCTTTCCGCAAACGCTTAACTTTGTGTAGGGGCCTAAGTCTCGCTGTACCTAGCTTTGAGCAGTAGTACTTGAGGTCTTGCGTTGTGAGCCGCGTCAGGGCATGCTCCAGAAGCACTACATGCACCGCGTTGCCCGGGAAGCTGAAAGCCTTGGCGCCTTTGCCGATGGTACTTGTGTCTTTTCGGCGCCCATCCTGTCAGCTAGTTTGCTTGGTTTTGGTGGCTTGGAATTTGACCGTCCAACCGCCCCATTCTTTTCCACGTTTCGAGCGCGCGTGTCCCTCAGGTCCTCGCATCAACTTGACCTGGCGCTGGATCAGGGCGCATGCGCAGGCGGAGTGCATCTGCAAGAGGGTAACATGGACTCTGACGCTCCCTTTGTGAGGCCTGTCCAAAGGCCAGCTAGGCGGCCTGAGCGAAGAGCAGCCTGTCTGCAAATGTTTTGTCGCGCACATCCCAATATTAGATGACTTCTGGCAGGGTTTTGCCCCACCCCCCCCGGCCGCAACAAGATATAATATGAAGCCTCGAGGCGCGCAGCGCTCTCATCCTTGCGGACATCAATCCTTGCCTATCGCTCAGCACAGTTCTGAAGCTGCAAAACGTTGCCGGCTGCGCGGAATCAGGAATCATAAGTTGAAACAGGATTGACCAAGATCCTGAACCTGCCGCCTGCGCCTTCTATGTTTTTGGGCCTGGCTGGGCTGGCAGGTCCCCTCAACCGATTGGCCGTGTGGCACTTCCGCAGGCAGGCCAGCAGCTAGCTTCCCTGGAGGGTGGCACTGAGCTTGGCGTCCGGTTGGGGAGGGTGCTGACCTCCCCCATGTGTTGGGAACGGTAGAAGCCATGGTGAGCCCAGGTTTGTTATGTTACTTGCAACATTGGGGGTTGTCAATGTCAACCAACTCTTCCTGCTAGCTTTTTTCCGGGGTGGCCCAAAGATTTGCCACCCTGGCTAGTCGCGGAACCTGCGACTTGGGTTTACCAGCCCGGCGCAGTCTCAGAGTCTCAGGGCCAAATCGTTGGCATAGTCCGCTGAATTGGACGTCAGCCAGCGCCAGCTCACCAGCCGGCAACGTGCCCAAGAAAATGGTTTGCCACCGCTGCTAGACCGCATCCCGTCGACCTGCTTATGAGCCATAATCGAAACGCATGTAATTGGAGGGTCCCAACCACAAATGCGCGCGACCGCCCAGTTTGGTAGAACATTTTTGAAAATTCCCGCAGGTTTTGATAACTCTGACCCCGATGCATAGATGCCCGAGTTACTTGGCCTCGTTCCCAGCCAAATCCCTTCTTGGCTGCCAGTGAGCAGCCAAAAGTCTTGCCCACGCAAAAAAGCTGAGGGGCATGGAGACAGATTTTCTGGGAACCAGAGGGAGAAAAGGACCGGCAGATGCTGATCGATGTTTCTTGGAGCTATTTGACTAGGTACCGCTGGGGTGCATTGGTTGAGGTTGAAAAGGGCGGGTTGGATCACTTCAAGTCAGGTTGGATGTTGTCAAGCACCAGGGTCCTGCCGAAAGCAGCTTTCGGCTCGGCTAGAGATGTGCTGACGCACCAGGTGCGGATGTGTTGCTGCTTTGCCACGGGCGACACACAACGTCGCCCACACGAATAGCCCGACAGAACAGCGGATTGCCACGCGCAGTTGTCCCTCAACGGTCAATGCAGGGCCTTTTCCATGACCTGCAGGCTATGGAGGATGAGGATGGCAAGCCGGTGGCTAGATGCCCAGAGAGCTGCTGTGACCCCCCCTATGAAGCGTATAGCGAATGCCGGGCGCCAGGTGAAGGAGAACAAGGATCACCAGATCCTGGACACGCTGGACACGGAGGCAAACTGGGTGGCTTTGCAAGAGCACTCTGCATGGTTTCTTCTTTTCTTTTTTGGCCAGGGCACGTGCATCTTCACGCGCACCCGGGGAGCTGTGACTGAAAAGGGCCTATGGCAACGCGGCGGCACGGGGAAGAGAACTTTCTGGGAGCCATTTGCCAGTACAGAGAGGCCCTGTGCATACAGCTCAGGCACAGGTATGTCCATGTGTGGGTTCTCAACCTGCCCGACAGCTGCCTGACAAGACTAGCCCCACCCGTTCTGTGGCCACAGACTTGAGCCCAGGCGCCGTGCTTATGCAGCTCCGGGCCCCCGCTGCTTGGCAGTCCCAAGAAAGTGGCCCCATTTGTCGAAGTCGCAGCGCGCACATCTCACAGGCCAGTCAGATTTGGGACTTGTGCGCCGCTGAGCCACGCTGATGGTTGCCGGGCCGGCTATCAACTATATACATTCCTTTGCTGGGTCAAGCCATCTTCGGCCCTGTGATTTTTAGGGCTGAGGTTGCAACAGGCCAGGGGATGTTGATTGTTGGAGCTCAGGAGAAGAAGCGCTTCGGGGGCATGTGGAATTGCAACTCGTCCGAAGCCTGCCGAGCTGCCAGAGTCAGCAGTGTAGCGAGGTACGTGGCAAGACTTGAGCTTGCCATTGGAGGTCGTTTGTTTCGGCTTAGCGCTGGCGGGCATGCGCGAATGGATTGTCAATTGTACCCAGAGAGCACGCCTGAGGCACCTCAGGCTTTGTGATGCGGCCGCCTCAGGTAAGGAGGGCTTGTTTGCGAGGTGCCCGCGTGGGCATCGATCATGGGGGGAGCCGGCGCTTGGTTGTCTTGTTAGTTACTGGTGTCCGCATGTCAATTTGAGGTCTGGGATGCCATCACTGGAGGCTTGCAGCTCCACGGCACTTAGCGTTTTGCCAGGCAACGCCATCTTGGCACTACACGCTTGCGAAAGCATGCGGGTCATACGGCCGGGGAAGCAACTTCAGACCCCACTTGGCTTGTTCTGACGTGTTCTGACATTCTGCGCTTCACTCATGCTGGCAACCTGGCTTTTCGCGCTCAATGCCTAGAAAAGTGCAGCCGCTCGGATGGCCGCAACATGTGTTGCTGGCTTTGCTTCCGTAGGGCGCAGCTCAGGCAAGAAGCACTTGGACACCGAGTCTGGTATGAGATTTGATGACCACATGTATGAGTTTGTGTTCAGCTGCTTGGTGCCTTATAATTTGAGGCATGCGAGTTGGACGGTGCTATGAATTTTGAGTCTTTGGCCCTGGCTGAAGTTCGAAATGTGCGCCCTGGGGGACCGGGGACCCTCGCTTTGTTCGCCCACATGAAGCTGAGATGAACGCTAGCAAGGGTAAACAAGATATTTGCTGGACTGGGGGCCTGCACACAGCACCGAAGTGCTACTGGCCGCTGCTTCGGCAGTCAGACCACGATGGCGATAGATAGAGAGAGAGAGAGAGAGCCTGGGGGATGCAGATGTGGATTTTGCATGATTTTGCTGCTTTGCTTGGCCGAGGTTGCAAAGAGATTTCTGTCTTCAAAGGTGAAGCATTGAAGCAGTGGACGCTTAGCAAGATGTTGATCTTCGGGGCCATGTTCCAATATTGGGTTTTTGTTAGGGGAACCCCCCCCCCCCCCACAAGAAGAGAATAAACATGAATTGATAAACAACATACAAAGTGAGAATAAAATAAAGTAGGTAATGGTGGTTTTCCTCTCGGTTTCCCTCAAAAACCACAGAGAAGGGGTACCCTCAACAAAAGACACACCCATATTTGGTTCCCAGGATGCGTTGGCAACTCTTTGAAGGTTGAGTTGTCTGGAGAGTTGGGTCCCAGGAGCCAAGGGGTAGCCGACCTTCACCTGGTTGCTTGCACCATACGGCAAACCGCAGATCCAGCCAGGTCAGCACATCACGCGGCATAGATTTTTTGCGTGTGCAGACTTGCTTCCTCCTCTTTGCACAGTACTGCAGAGAGGACATTTGGGCATGCTAGATCGTTTCTCAAATCCGCTCGTTGCTGGCAATACTGGCAGGGATTGCTGATTGACCCGTATGTCAATGTGGCAGTCAACACTAGATACTTCGCTTGGGCTTGACTCTCGTGAGAGCCAAGGATTGATGTCTACGTGGTGTCCTTGCGCTTCGGCAGTAAAGCAGCAGCATTTGTGCATATTGCTTCAAACATAGCTTTCAATCGATTTTCGATTCCACGAAGGGGGCCATCAGGCAGAGCCACGCAAGGCAAACGGACCCCCCTGCCTTCATTTTACGCGGCATTGAGCCAACTCATCCAGCGAGGAAACGGCCACCAGAGCTCCACAAGATCTTCTACGCGCGCGCCTGAGTCTTCCGCTGGTTTGCTTTGTGTGTGTTGCTCGGGCACCCCACTTTTGGGTTTTCCCCCCTGAGCCAGGCAGGCCACCAATCTAAAGCCACAGCAATCCGGGCCAAACTTAGCTCGGAGCCCGGCCAACTCGGCGGCGTCAGCCCGAGGACATTAAGGAGGCCACCGAGCTGAAGTACGTAGGCACGGCTGGCACGGCTGGCAAGTGCAAAGCTTGAGTCGAACCCTTGCCGCGTTCGCAGGGATCGGGGAACTGGAGCAGGCATACCACGACCAGCCGGGCCCACAGATCCTAATGCGGTTTGGAAGGCACGAGGCATGGCCCACACCAGCTTGGATCTACAAGTAACCCCCTCGGTTCGGCCTGCACGAGTCTTTTGCCGCTTGCTGATGCTGCGAGTTTGGCCAGCGATTGCATTTGTCCCCAAAGCGGGCCCTGAAGCTTTTGGGTCGACCTGGTATGGCTTGCAGTCATTCCAGCGATCCCTTCAAACCTTTGTTCTTTTGGAACGAGCGTGACCTCTTGCAGTGGGCAGGTTTGTGACGAGGGGGTTGTGTGGCGTGCATGCCTTCCATTCCACCAATGGCAGGTCCTTGGCCCCATTTCCCAAAGGGCCAGCCGTTCCTTCTTGTTTAGCTTGCACACCCTGAAGTTCGCAAGTTAGTTGGTAAACGCCAGGGGATGCTTTGGAGTTCCTTGATTTTCTCGTGTCCTGCATTGGGGCAGGTGCAAGCTGCTGAAATCACGAGCGGACCAAGGGACATGTGGAGGGTTCATGTACGGAGAGCCAACGTAGGTTAATTACCGGAGAGCCATTTAGTGCAGATCACATCCGGTCGGAGCTCGTTCATGGCCAGCTTTGGGTCCTTTGTATTCATCAGGACCTTGCATAGGGTGCTGAAGG